TCTATCTATCTATCTATCTATCTATCTATCTATCTATCTATCTATCTATCTATCTATCTATCTATCTATCTATCTATCTATCTATCTATCTATCTGTGCCCCACAGGTTTCAAAACAATGCGAACAGTCAGTCAGTGGCTGGCCTTGTCCTCTGGGCCCCACAACCAACTGATCCACACTGCATGTTCAAATGTTTATTATGTTTGTCTTAAAGTTTTATATCTCAGCTGAGCTCTGATGCTGGCATGATGCAGTACGCCATTACAGCGTCATGCGGCAGCACCTGAGAGCTTCTCCCTCCCATGTGGGAAATAATGCTAATACAGTAATTATGAATAAAAGGCCTACATGTGTATTCATAGGAGAGATGCGGGAGTTCATTACACCATCATCATTTCGCACTGTAGAAAAGATTAAGTTACCTCGGCTTAAAATATTAACCGCTGCATTAATACTGTCACTGTATTATAAATATGCTGTGTTACAATTGAGAGAACAAGTTGAATGATTTACTGTGTCACACCTTCAGCTATATATATCCACTCTGTCAGGATCTGCTCCTTCTATCCGTTTATGTTCTCAACATTGACTCCCAGTTTAATCCAGTATCAAATTCAAAATTCTCTGCCTCACACACAAAGTCTTGAATAATCAGAACCATTTAAAAGAACTTAAAGTACCATATAACCTCAATAGATCACTTTGCTCTCAGAGTTGTTGTTCCTTGAGTATTTAAATAAAGAATGGGAGGCAGCGCCTTCAGACCCCTCTTCTGTGGAACCAGCTCCCAGTTTGGATTCAGGGGACAGTGTGTTTTTTAACACTTCTCTGCATTTAGTTAATTCATTATCATTAATCGCTGCCTGTCTTATAGAGTGTGTCTTTTGTCCTATCTCACTCCTCTCACCGCCAACTGATCGTGGCAGATAGTTGCCCCTCCCTGCGCCTGGTTCTGCTGGAAGTTTCTTTCTGTCAGAAGGTAGTTTTTCCTTCCCACAGTCACCAAATGCTTACTCTATACTATATAAATAAAACAGATGTATCGGTATCTGCTCAGTGTGTCTCACATTAAGGATTTAGAGGCTACCAATCACTGTGCATCAAAGAAAATCTGTTCCAACGAGAAGAAAACCCTTTTTCTTGACAGCTGACCAAATTGCATGAAAAGGATTGCCAAACTCCCTAACAAACCTAATTTGATTAATCCACCCGGCTCGTACATTACAATCACAAGACTTAAACTCATGATTAAAACGCCTTCTAAGATAAATTAAAAGTGACATGCTTACTTCTAGATTCTGTTAAAAAGACCTGTTGATTTCACTACGCCATGGGATTTCGTTTGGCTCTGTAGACCCAGCAGAGAGGTTTTCTTCCAGCACTGATTGGTTTAATATTCATTATAATGCCTCTGTACGGAGGGAGTTGCAAAGTGAAAGATGACATATGCTGCAGGGTGGCTGAAAACAGTGTGCAGCTCCATACTGAAGTAGCTGGAAGTTACCTGTCTTGCTCGGTTACATTTTGTTAGCTGCCTTTTTCAGAAGGTCCCTCCTGATACAAGCATCTTTCTCCTCTGCAGAATAGGCTCCAAATATAGGCTTTGTCTTCTTGGCGTCCATAGAACAATGGCTGATGTGCAGCTGCTTCTGAGGTATCCGCAATATTGTTGAGGAAAGCTTGAGCAACCCTGGCTTCTCTGTGTCTGCTGTTACTTTAATTGGCCAGGAGTAAACAGCGATTGTGACTCAGATGCAATCTCAACCTCTTCACCGGTGTGCGGAGTAATTCCCAGCTCTATAAGATGAGGCCACTGTGCAGGACTACACCTGACATAAAGTCACATCCACCTCAGTAAACTGACAGAGACATGCGTGAGACGCATGGGAGCTGGCTGGCTTTTTCTTCCGAAACCTTATAGCTACATTTAAAACAGTTCTTCATATTCAAATGATCTGTTCGCAGTTTTCCTTCAGATTTGAGGTTTTAAAAAACGGGAGGGTGTAAAAACAACAAAAAACAGCATTACATAAATCAAGCATAACAGCGCGATCGTGCCTTATGGCTGTTCGGAGGGATACAGTTGTCTTAAATCATGTGTATTTTAACCACTTCACCAGTTTGCTCCAGACATTTAGCCCCATTAAAACCAAAGAATAAATCAACGCTATTTGGCTACTTATGCACACTTATGCATCAGCGCTTTCAGCAAATTCAATTAAGAAGAAATAGTTTTTTATCAATAAAATAAACTATCAATTCAAAAATGCTTCTGTTAAATACTTCAAATGAATTGTTCTGGGACTCACCCAACTTTGATTTTTCACATCCCGATGCTTGGACAGAGCCACATTTGGGCACGGCAGTGATTGCCGAGACGCGCTAGGAGGCGGCGAAGGGAGAGCCAAGTGCGCTCGCCGTGGAGAGCCCTCATATCTGCCGGAGCAGACACCCGAAGCTTCAGGTGCTCCAAGTCTCTTCAGATGATGACGAGTAGCCAGCCAAATCTCTCACTGCTTTCTTTTCGAAACCACTGTCGCCCGTATCTACCCCCCCCCCCCCCCCCCCCCCCTCAACCCAACCCTCCCAGCCCCACCCCCTCCTTACCACCACCCAGCCATCCATCCTCACATCACCTCACTATGGCTCAGCATCACTCTTTGTGCGTCATCACAACCGGTCTGTGTCATTCAGAAATCTTTCATTAACCGGTGTCACCCACCTTTCCAGCTGTTAAACTGTACGAGAATACAGTGTGTGTGGAAATGCTCAAAGACTTTTACTATTTACTATTTTTTGTAAGGTTATGTAAGTGTACTTTCAGTCTTCAGGAGTCCGTACCAAACTTTTACTCCCCCCCAGTGAAGGAATGTTCGTGTGTTGCAGATGTTTAAAGTGTTTTTGATCCCAGAGATAAAAGTAAAGGTGATGTCTAGTTTTATTTAAAAATCTGTGTAACACTTTTGATTACAGCCAAGAAATAACTCTATAGCCTAAAATACACGTGTTCATGTTTCTGACCAGAAACAGTTGTGTTCTTAATGAAAAGGCGTCTTCTTTTACACATCTCCACATCTCCAAGACTTGCACCATCATAAATGAGTTTTTTTTTACACACATTTTAAACACACTTGTATCTTTGTGGAAGCTCCTTCTTAAACTCACATTTGTTGTTATCACATCTGGAATGACACTCTCTTTTTAAGTCCAACTTCCTTTTATATTTATTTGTAATTTGATATAACCAAACATACATTCTCTTATGACTCCATCCATCCATACATTCGCTTCTGCTTATCCAGTTTAGGGTTGCGGGGAACCTCGGGCTATTATAGGGCACAAGGGTACACCCTGGACAGGTCACCAGTCTCTTGCAGAGCATGATTTAAAATATAAATTACATTTTATGGGTGGTAAACAAGGTACACAATTATTCACGGGCTTTGCCTGATAACACTTTGTTCCCCATCAGCAAAATGAAAGCAGCTGCCTTCTATATTTAAAAACTTTGGTGCAGGAATCACACCCTAACATCCAGTAACAGTACATCTGTTACTGGATGTTAGCCACAGGCAGAGGGGTCTGAAGGCGCAGCAATAACACAGTAGCCTGTAGTTACTAAGTAAGTACTTTATTTACACTGTGAGTTATTTCTAAATATCTGCTATTACCCACCCTGCTCCAGCTTTCTTTTTTCTTCTTCTTTGCTGCTCATTAACTACACACTAATTTTACGGATACCCCCTAAAAAATAATTAGACTGTAATTGCTCCAAGCTGTGGCTTCAAATATTAACACCATTACCACTAACAGGACTAATCCTCCTGCGCGTTTAAACACAACACACTGCATTATGAAAGCGTGATGAGCAACAAACGCACCTATAGCTGACATTTGCGGCATACAGTATAGTCTATAAGACCCTCGGTCCATCTGTTGCACACTCAGTCGATACTCATTTGTTAATGTCTGAGCAGCGAGAGATGATTGTAATTTATAAAGCATTGCCATTTCAGCAGGGATTGTGATTATTCAGTGGCTGTGCATTTTTCCCTTTTTTCAATTAAGCTATGAGGAAGAGATGAGACAGAAACAAGCACACACATACACACATTTAGCTACACATGGATAAACACGGTACATTGATTTTTTTGTTGGGGTGGGGGATTGATTCTTTTCTTCCCACTGTGGACAAATCCAGGTTTAGCCAGTTGGAGTATTTGTTGTTTTTCAAACTGGTTTCAGATATGAAGGCTTTACCCGAGGCTGCTGCCTGTTTTAAGTGAGAGATTTTAAGCCGAAGTAAACATTTGAGCAGTTAAAGTCAGCTTGTGTGTTCAATCAATGATGAGACTTTCAGCTCACAATGCCTCATCTTTTCTTTTTCCTTTTTTTTTTTACCTGCCGGTATATCCGGCGAGCACGTCTACTTCATCTTGCCAAAAGCAAAAATCGCAACCAGACCTCTGAACTCCCCAAGAGTGCATTCAAATCAGCGAAAGGTACGACGTGACATAAATAGGCATATCTACTTTGCTTGCACAATAAATTGAAAAGCAAAGGTCACAGATGGATTTTCTTTAAAATTGAAAAACAATTTTCACCGCAATTTTAGCAAAAATCACAACATTTAGGCAGATTATGTGTCATTACTGCGTATGCATGACTGTCTGGCGCTGACAAACCACTTTGTAATAAGCATTTAACGCAACAATAGCTTTGTAATTATGTTATGCATTAAAAACAAGCCTGCGAGACACCCGTGCTGTTGATTTGTGTGTATTTGCATCCTGTTAGGCCCTATCGTGCTATCTGCTGGAAAAGTAATTACCTGTCTGTGCCGCCCATGCAGTGAGGTGGGCTGCTGAGTTTGAAAGAAACTGAAATCAATATCTCTGCACTGGAAGACACATTTCCTGTCATGGAGGCAAGAAACCTGACTCTAGCATTCATACTAATGTTGGCATTTACAGTGACATTCGCCTTAATTGCATATCAAGAGATTTTCTCTCCTGTGCTTATGACTTTGACAAAACCAGCTCCAGGATTTCAATCATCGAAGCTGTTAAATGCACACTGCTGACATTACTCTGTGACTAATGTGAAATGCTTGGCATGCAAAGCAGGCAAATTTGAAGATCGAAGCCGCTGCTTTGCGTGTCGTGTGTCATGTTCTCGAGGCAACTGTTCTTTTTTTTGTTATAAGCTGAAGGGGGGGAAAAAGGGGAGATGGCAATGTGAAATAAAGGTGATAGATTCTGTCATCAGGCTGATGAAGCTCCTTATACCAAGTGTGCTGCAGTAGTCTGCTGTCCTCCCACGCACACAACTAACCTCAGGCTCACACCTGAAATGCAGATTGAAGAGCAAAAAAGGAGGAAAAAACCCATCAGTGGCTGTGGTCAGAAATACAAGAGTCATCACTGCGTCCTCCTGCAACCATCCTGTGTGACATACAGCACCTGCGATGATGTGAGCAAGGAAGCATCCATCACTTCATTACCGCTTGGCATAAATTTTACATGAGCTCCTAGTGTTCAGCGCCAAGTGACAATTCTGTGATTCACTCAAAGCTGACAGATCCTTTTGTATTTAATTGTGCCCAATCAGTTCCATGAAACCGATACAGTAATGCATTCACAGCCGACAGAATAAGGCATCTTTCCTCGGTGACGCACAAAAGAAAGTCATTAAAAAGTGATTTTTAGTGTTATTCTAATTAGGACGATGAAGTGTGGCTGCAGGAATTTTAAATGACTTCGGGGTGTCTGTTTAAAGAAGGTTTTTACTCAATCCACACAAGGAGCATTAAAAAAAGACAGGTTTAAAGCCATGCCTGCTGTTCACTATACTTTGATTGAAATGCTGAAGCTGTTTAGCAGAAGCAAGCCGCTATAGGCACTGCAATGTTAAGTTCAATATTTAACATAGTCACCACCTTCATGACTTGCTTTGTTGTTGTGACAGGTCTTAGAAGTTAACCACATCATTGGGCAAACTCTTAAAAAGTTACTGAAGTTTGTACAGTTTATGGCTTTTCAGTAACGTCGTGGTGGCACTGAAGGAAAAGTCAAGGGCTCACAAGAGGCGTTCCTCTTCTCGAGAGATTCCTCCAGATAAGTGAAAACTGCAACCTGGTGGAGGGAAAAAAGGAGAATCAGGGCAAAAACAGCTGGATTAAAGAGATGGGGGTGGGGGGCAATGAATGTTTCTATGGTAATCCAGCTCCTATTTGCTCAAATATTTCAGCCTGGACCAAAAACGGCCCAGACAGTATCATCCGTTAAGCCGTACTTTAATGTGATACATATTTCTTTTCATCCAATGTTCAATATTTGAGCAGGCACACACACACGCACACACACACTCACTCTCACACAAAAGAACAAACCCACAGATCAAAAACATGGAAAGTATATTACATGTCGCAGAACTTATTTTAAATTTTGAAAAGCTTGTTGCTCAGCAGCACCTGTGCACCACCTACATGGCGCATTTGATCATTTCTGAAACCCGGTGGGTTTAAAAGTAATAAGGCAAAGCCACAGGCAGATTGCATGATGTTCAAGTGGTATAATGGTCGAGGCTTTTATTGGGCTCCATTCGTGGTTCTATCTGCAATTGCTGTAATGAAGACAGACCTAATTATCTCAGCAGACAGAACTCCACTATGAACAGGACTCTAATTATGGCCTAAATGCTGTTCTCTTATACTGTTCAGAGTCGTACTCGGGGGGTTATAAGAGAGTTGGCTGTGGCCGTCTTCACACACACACGTGCACACACACACACACACACACCTTGGGGGCTCAGTGTGCTCAGCTGTTCTGATGTGCTTCTGTGCAGGCATCATGGTGTAGTGGCAGGGATTATCTAACATGACAACGCACTCTCTTCCCGTCTTTGACTGGTGACAGCTTACCCAGTCATCTGATTAATTAATTACAACTCCACGTGTCATTAGACCAGAATTCTTATTTATGGTCTCAAACACTTTGCACCAATAGTTTACAAGAAGATCCTATTGAAATTCTAAACCCCCATGGGATGAAAAAAAACGACAATAGATGAAGTAATGTCTGAACATAAATGTTAGGGGCAGCAGAGTTACTTACAGATAGATTATTCCATCAGTGGTACCATTTGGAGCCCATTTATTTTGAATTTATGAATGTAAAATAACTGCAGATTTATCTGGTCTTGTAGATTGTCTCAAGGCTGCAGAGCAGATAAATTGAATGCCGTGTTTCTAAATTCACACTGAGGGGGAGGCTAAGCGGCTTGTGCAGTGACCTTGATTGTAGCTATTGAACCTCCAAATAAGGAGACCGAACAGATAAGAGCGGCGTTATTTGGCACACAAAGGAAGACAATCCAGTGACGCAGCCGTGGCGTCAGCTGATGAGCAGAGTCAACATGCAACCACAGAGCCCAGTGAGGTATGAGTTAGGAAACTGGAATGAGTGATAAAGCAAAGGGCAAAGTTTGCCCTCAGTAACAGGTATAGTAAAGAACGTCTGCACAATCTGTTATTTCCGAAGGCCGCTTATATGACTCTGCATTCGCCCACTGCAATTTGGAATAGTAATGCAATTTTAAAGTGGTTTCCAGAGGACAGAATACATTTTGCTAAATCCCACTAAAACGAAGATGAAATGCAGGCGGGGTGGATTTGAAAAGATCATTTCTCGCTGAAACTCTGAGAAATCTGTAAATATCAACGACAAACTTAAGACAAGAGAACGCACTGTGCTCTGTGATGTAGAAGAATTTGTGTTGTGTGCAATGGAAAGAAAAGGAAAAAATCCAAATGATTTTAGGGCTTCAATCACCCCCAGAGATCAACATTATGGCCTTAAACTGCAGCGATGAGACAGTCAAGGTCACTCAGCATACTAATGATCACCAGAAACTCATCCTCTGCCAAAGTGTAGGCTTACTTTAAAGAGTATTACTGATGCTGCGAGCGATAAGAATATGCATTTGATTTACTGCTCATGATAAAAGAGCTTTATTTATTTATTTATTTGTCATCCTGCAGACATTTAATAACTGACTGTAGAGCCCATGACTCTAGCAAGACCTTCGATGAGTCAGGTAGCATCTCAGTTCCGCTTAAATCTGCATGGCACTTCCGTCTCATACGAGGAGCTAGTATGAAAAACACAAATTAAAATAAAAATACAGTACACAACCACAGAAGCTTTAATTAGTCATTTCAGATGGATTGAGGGTTTTTGCTTATTACATGGTCAGTCACTCACAGACTGGATTATTGATGTGCGTAACCAGGGAGGTGGCAATAAACTGGCAGAGGTGACTTTGTATACAAACACCTGGAGTTCATCCACATCTGAAGCAGACAAAAATGTGCCAATTATCACTTCAGGATTAAGAGACTCGTTAATGTGTCCTTTTTGAAAAGAAGCTGTTGATCTGGTTAATTGTTTTTAGACATCATGTAACTGTCAATTTATTTCCTGTTTTAATGTACATTTATGAAAATAAATACAGGAGATTGTATTTCAGTGATTAAAATGGCCTTCAGGGGGAGTGGGTTAGTCTTAGCTTCTTCTGTTACGTGAAATGGTATCAAAATCTGCAGTCTCGCCAGAAACGTTATCTTCTGTAAGCACAGTGTGATTACAAAGACAGAACAGAACATCCCAGGAAATGAACATCCGCACAAAGAGATGAATCTCGACACCGCAGGGTCATGTCTGTGACTCGCAGTGACCCGGTCATTTTAATAAGACTCAACAGCGCCCTCTGGTGGCAGACATGGCGTGGTGCAAATCTTCCTTTTTATTGTAAAACCGTTAATTGCGCTAAAGCACATCTGAAAACTTTTCTTTTTTGTGATTTAGCTTAACGTTATTTTTTCATCTCGCACAGCACATGCAACGTTTAAATTAAAATTACGCGTTAAATCGAAGTTTCTGGAAGTTAATAATGACGCTTCAGATTGCGCAGGCGCAGAGTGTATACGTACTGAAAACACGGAAGGTCCAACACCATATTCCCAAACAGAGGCTTCTACGCTGTAAACTCTTTATAAAACGTCGTCGGAGCGGCCCTAGAATAAGCCAAGTGCGGTATTGTTTTATTTTGGCAGTTGCGGTTTAAGAGTGATGCCTGTCGAGTAGTTGGGCCTTTTCTGCTTTTCTGCTTCATCTGAAAGCAAACCGCTGAAGAAGATGCCCGCTCGTAATGTTGTGTCCAACGGGATCCCTAACAGCAAAGTTAGGTATTCCAGGTTAGCCACTGACGACGACGGCTACATTGATTTACAGGTAAAACAGAAGGTGTAACGCTAGGATACGTTACCATTGCTTTTATTTTTAGATAATAGACTAAAGTTGGTGCACTGGTTTCGACCACAACAGTATGAATATAAAGGGGTACTGCAGCAATAGATGGCCGCTGTCATTTCCGAGCTAAGGTAGCCCTGTTGACGTCATTGGGGTTGTTGGGGGGGGGGTCCTGTGATATTAATTCTTATAACCTCTTGATGTTCTCATCAAAGTTTGGTGAATGTTCACAAGAAATACTGCATAACCAACACTTTTAAAGGACTGTGCAAATGTCTTCAGCCACCCTACTTTGAAGGAGTCAGACTTGGCATTTTTTAAGTGGTCCTAAGCAATACATAGACTGAAACAAAAAGACTGCTGGCTTATTTGCTTCTGAGGGTATTTAAAAGTAGAATGGGAGGCAGAGCCTTGCAGTTTCAGGCCCCTCTTCTATGGAACAAGCTCCCAGTTTGGAAGTATTTCTTGTTCTCTCACCTGTGTTACGACCCCCTCTTTTCACTCAGTATGTGTTTAGTACACCACTCTATTCAATCGTGAATTATTATTAATGTCCGGATCTCTTACACAGTTTATTGTATCTTTTGTCCTGGCTTCCTCCCCTCAATCCCAACCAGTCAGAGGAGATGGCTACCCCTCCCTGACCCTTTCAACGCTTCTTCCTGTTAATAGGGAGATTTTCCTTCCCATTTTTGCCAAGTGCTTGCTCATAGGGGGTCGTTTAATTGTTGGGGTATTCTCTGTATTATTCTAGGGTCTTTACCTTAAAATATAAAGCCCCTTGAGGCGTCTGTTGCTTTAATTTGACACTATAAGAATTTCACTCTCAGAAAGTTGAGTTGAATCAAACAGTAGTTCTCCAGGCTTTCTGAAGGTCTTTCAAAAACATTCTTTGGAAACTGGCTGCGTTTTTACTCATTTAAGGTCCAGTCCTTGTACCGGAACATTTTGTGAGAAATGTCTTTTTGTTTTTTCAGCTACTTTCAGCTGTGAATAAAGGAAGCATTAAAAATGGCACCTAACTCAGTGTTGTGTCTACACATAACAGGCAACTTAGCATATTTTAAATCTTGTATTTGGGTACTTTGTTATGAGCAGGCTGTCACAAAAAGCACCTAACTTTATGTTTCTTTAGTTGAATCTGTGAAAATGCCAAAGATAACACAGTTTGACAGACACTAAATAGTTTTTTAGGGCCTGCATTTCAGCCAATGGTGTTTGGAATCTTGTCACAATTAAATCATGAACACAGAAAAGTATGATCAGAGTTTGATCCACCGTGCGATGCCCTCTAGTAGGGGTAGGTGACAGCTTCAAAATTACCAGCACAATATTGCAAGAACATTTACTGTAATGTAAATGCATGCTTTTGCTACACTAGTGATATTGCATTTTGACATTTTTATATCATGTAAAAAATTATAGATGTATTATTGCAGACAACACGATATGGTACAGCCCTACCTTCTGGAAATCGTTGGCAACAGCTTCATTTTTCAGTCGGGCAGAGATCCCAAACACACTGCCAGTGCAGTCAAAGCATACCTGGATAAAAAACACACACAATAGAACACTGTCAGTCATGGATTGGCCTCCTCAGAGAAGGAAAATAAACATTATTGAAGCAGTGTGGGATATACTGTATTTCCATGTGTTTTTGAATCTGTCAATAAATTGCTGCACCTATTTGCCATTTTCCTAGCAAAATACTAAAAGAAAAATTAGGGTTAGCTTGAGATGTTTGCACAGTACTGTACATCCATGTTTTTATGAGAATAGGGCAATTTATTTAAAGCTGATTCGATGGAAAACATCTCTCTAGTCTAATGATTTTGACACAGAAGAGGAAAAACGGACACTTCCAAGAAACCTTGTGTTTCACAGAAATGTTTTTGAAATGAAATATTTCCCCTCTACAGTTCAAGAAGAGCCCACCCAAGGTCCCATATAAAGCCATCGCACTAGCCACGATCCTTTTCCTAATCGGCTCGCTGTTGATCATCATCGGTGCTCTTCTCTTGGCTGGCTACTTTGGCGTCACTGTAAGTAATTTTCTAGGTCACACTTTTCTTGTTACATCCTTTTACAGGTCATACAATGTCATCATGTTAAGAGAATAAATGTTTTCTTTCTTTTAGCACACAGACCGGACCGTGCCTGTCCTCATCATCGGGATCCTTGTCTTCCTGCCTGGATTTTACCACCTACGGATAGCTTACTATGCATCAAAGGGCTACCCGGGGTACTCTTATGATGACATCCCAGACTTTGATGACTGACCATTGCTAAAGCCCCAGTCCTGCTGCGCTTACATGTAGTGAATTTAAAGTCGTGATATATTTAAAGAAAATGAGATCCCTTTTTTTTTTGTTTTTTTCATAATTGTTTTTAAATTACAATATTGTTCTTATAGATTTTTCTACCTAGGTTCTTAATGCCAGGTTGCTAATAGCAACTGTTTTTAAAAAAAAATTATCTTTGTATTTGTTTTATAGCTTGATAAATGAATAAAAAAGATTTGTATTATTTCTTTTGATTTATATAAAACCATTTCAGTTTGTTTATAGAATATTTTACCTTATGTAGTACAACCAATGTGGCCACATATAGTGAGTCTTTTAACTGCTTCACTACAACCAGTTTTTATTTTGTGTATTCTTTAGGTAGATCCATCAGTTCAGTGGCAGAGAGAATAAATAATTTAAAACTAAAGTAGCTGCAACCAACATAACAAATACCTGGTATACCTATTATATACACAATATCACCTCTGTGGCATAATAATGATATTTAATAAAAGGCTAGTATTGTGTCTTCACATCCCGTGTAGTGAAGATTGCCTCGCCCTAGTTAATGCTTCCTCACTGCTCTGAGTTGTTCTTTCCCCGAGGATTTTGTGTGATTAATTCCAATCCTTCGATCTCCATATGGTGCACCTGGCCTGTGAGAGTAAACACTGTCAAACAGTACACAAGCAATTAAGGCCTGACATTTTGCTGACATTTGCCCCTCTAATCTGTGCCATCAACTCATCACTCTCAGCATAATTTGAAAGTGTGCTGGTGAAAGCCAAGACTGCCACCTCGATTCCTCCCCCCCCCCCGATAATGTCATATGTAAAACACATTGCTACTAAAGGTTGGACGTCTATATAATCCTTTCAGAAGCCTAGTAACCCGCTGTTTGCCAAAGGGATAATTCGAGGGTAGCTGCTTGTGTTCTCGTTGTTTCTCTTTCCTTGCTATCGAATGAGCCCACCCAACTGTACACTGATCACAAACTGCCGGGCCTTAGATCAGATTATGCACTTTAAATCAGCTCAGATTCTTTGTTTTTTAAGTGCTTCCTGTGGTTCCAGGAGGCATTCGCACACAAAACGTCTTACAGAGGACTGAGATTTACTGTGTTTGTCCCGGAAACAAACATTTTGTATACTCTCAATGCTTTCTATCATATTGTTTTTTATGCTCTCTGAGGTGAGTCTTTTAAAATTACTGCTTTTACGTGAAACCCGTCAAACCTAGTATGGTGATATCATAAGTTGAGCGTTACGAGACAATAGAGTTGTTGAGCAGACACATAATAACAGACACAAAGTAAGTGTGCAGTAATACTGCAGGGATATTCAGTAATTTTAACTGTTTATATGCACAGATGAGTCCGTGTTACTCTTGAGTCTTGTCAAAGCAACATCACTGCAAAATAGTAATAAAAAGCTAAGTTATCTCAACTATATTGGCTTGTTGATTTTTACTCAGAATCATTACACAAGTGTTTAACTGGGTCAGGTGTACTGTCTGGCCCAGCTGATCCACTGTTGCATCACCCAAAAACAAGGACCTGGCATTAACCTTTATTACTGAAAGGTGATTTAAGTGACTTTAAGTTTAACATGGTTGTTAATGCCAGACAGCCTTGTCTGAGTATTTCAGAAGCTGCTGATCGGCTAGGAATTTTCCCACACAGCCATCTCTAAGGTTTATAGAGGATAATCATAAAAAGATCAATTATTTAGTGAGCAGCAGTTCTCTGTGTGAAAATCCCTTGTTGATGCCAGGAGGCAGAGATGAATGGCCAGACACTAGCTCAATCAACTGCTCTTTACAAGCATGCGATACAGAAGAGCACATCTGAATACTTTACACAGTGAACCTAGAAGCAATTGGGCTGTAGAAAAGACCACAACAGGAGTCACTCCTGTCAGGGTAGAACAGGAAGCTGGGCTACAATTCCTTGCACACTTTGGGGCCCTTAGTACAAACTCAGCATTATTTAAATGCCACAGCCTAACTTAGTATTGCTGCTGATCATGTCTATCCCTTTTTGAGCGCAGTGTATCGTCTGATGGCTGCTTGCAGCAGAATAACGTACCACGTCATAAAGCTCAGATCATCCCAAACTGGTTTCTTGGACATGACAATGAGTTCATTGTACACAAATGACCTCCACAGTCAGCAGTTCTCAATCCATTAGGGCTCCTTTGGGATATGGTAGAACAGGACTTTCGCATCATGAGTGCAGTCGTCTGCAGGAATTGTGTGACGTTATCATGTTAATGTGGACCAAAATCTCTGAGGAACCGTTTTGAATGTTGAATCTATTCCTTCAAGAATTAAGACAGTACTGAAAGTAGCCAAAAGTGATTTCCAATGTTCCTATGTGTTTTTTAATGTCTAAAACGTTTACTTATATTATTTAAAAATGTAGTGAACAGACTTTATGAAGGGGTTTTATATAAAATAAGGAAATGACCTGTTTTGCAGGCATCTTTTGCTTTTTTTTCTGCTTTACATCTCTGCCTTCTGGCATCATTTATTGCAATTTCTTCTCTCCTTTTAGTCTGATCTCTTATAAAAATAATATTAATGACAATCAGAGTTTTTCATTCATAAAAATGACATATAACGATTATAATCCAACAAGTCATTTTTAGCAGTTTAAATTCCTGCAATCATATTTTAGCAGACAATGGTACTAAAACGGTGTACCTAATAAAGTGACTGGTGAGTGGATGAACCCAGGAACAGAAGTGATTTTGGTAAATTAGATAAGCTCGTCCGTCTGACCAAACTGATCCACTGTAGCATTACTATTAACCAAGGACACACTAAATACTATACTATAAACTATACATATATAATACATGAACGTACATGCAGTAGATTCTATATTTGGACACAATCATAAACCTTAGACGGTTAATACAGCCATCCGGTGACACCACGTGATCTGGCACTGGATTGGCTATTTTAAAAAGTAATATAAAGCATACCCAATAATCTTTAACCAGCTGCAGTCACTGTCAGTCACACAGCAGGTTTGAGTATTCGGCTCATTTTAGGAGGCTCAGGATCACAGGAAGCGTTTTTGAGGTAAGATAATTTGGCAGGAAACTTACTCAAAGCCCTCACTCGAAACTTAAAAGAAGTAACAGTCGTCTCATACTTAAATAGAAACGTTTTAGCCTTTTCTTTTAGCAAGAAAAATCAAAATAAATAGTTTTAAGAACACTAAATGACTTTGTGGTTCATTAGCCGGACTAAAGCGCAGCAAACTGTTTAGCTAATGCTAAGTTGGTTTAACTGTAGATACAGATCTTGTTCCTTGCTAATACACCTTTTATTTTATTTTACACACTGTAGTTTTGAGGTTTTTTTTAGTGTGTTGCCTTTTAGGAAAATTAATGTGAGATTTATGGTGAAAATAATAACTGGTTCTTGCTACTATGACGTTTAGCGGAAAGCTAATTCGTGTTCTTTATTGGAGGTTAAATTAGCATTTTTTTTAAAAGAAATGTATGTTTATCGATTTCTAAAACATAGTTTTACTGGCATTCAGATTATCAAACGATTGCAGCTTTTTTTTTTTAAATCCCACTGTTAAGAAATTTCTTTCTGGTAAAAAAAAAAAAAGTCAGCAAGCTTGTAATAAGCTATTATAAGATGGCTATAAATTATGTATAACACTGATAAATTTTAGGTGATCTTACTGAAAAGGTTAGGTTAGTGTGCTTGTATTATAACAAAATCACAGCTAATCCCGAACATGAAATGGTGAATATTGTTACAAACATGTCCGTTTAAGTTAGTTTTGCAGATAGTTGGAGCTACTTCCTCGCAGCATGTTTTTTTTAATGTATACCTGTTAAGTGATTTAACAGCCGACTAAAATGTGTCTTTAAGGTTTGCGTTTGCCTTTTGTTAAGACCATCACCCGTTTTTCCCACGGAAAGGCGCTTTTGTCTGGGGCGCTAAAGGACCAATTTCATAAACTAACACAGACACAGGCAGTAAAGTGACGGAAGTGTATTATTTCACCTTCAAAATTAAAGATACGTTAAGCGTTAGCTTCCTAAACTGGAGTTAAACACTTCTATTATTACTTGATCCGGTATGCCTTTGTAGGAACTGTTTAGTGCTGGCATTATTTTTGTTGTTGTTATTTATAGATTTGTAATTGATTGTAGCTGTGAATAGTAGGTCAAAACTGCTAATACCTTATGAATCATGTTCAATATTTTTCACGCATTCATTGAGCTGGCTTGTTAAATGCTAGATTTGTTATAAGTGTAAACATAAACAGTATAAAATACTGTTTTACAGACGCTGAGTGTGACAGGGAAACGACATGCACAGTAGTGCTTGGATGCTGAAAAGAAAGAAACTCAATGGACTTAAGCATTTTGGCATTTACACAGTGACATTAGCAAGTTGACATCTTTTATCATTAAATTCCTGTTCTGATTGTTTTTTTTCGTTATCAATTAAAAAAAAAATTAAAACGTAAAAGATTTAATTTGAAAGTTCTACCAGGAAGCTTCATCGTTGTGCTCTGTGTGAGTTGACAGCCGTTCAAACGTCGCTGTGGTGGGAGGAGGAGGGAACGATAATAACGGGAGGAGGGCCACCGCGGGGAGAGTATCAACAGCAGGGCTCAAACTAAACGTGTAGTATGCTCTCTTTCTGATGGATCTTGCACCTGTTTGAGGATCAATGTGCTCCAAATCGACCGAGAGCCTTTCAACTTCTTTCTGAACTCTGTTATAAACTCTCCCGCACGATTAAAGGCACTTTGAGGGAGTTTGGACTGAGAAGATTGCGCACATTTAAAAAGAAAAAGAAAGTCAGTGCTTGGAGTGTTTAAATGGACTTTAAATGGACTGATGTCGGAGTCATGAGGGTGGCATGGGTTAATGGATTTTATTGAAGCTGCGAAGAGTTTTTTTTTAGAAAGTCTGAGCACCATGGATGTCGAGGAATAACAAGACTTTCTTTTGATCCACGCTCGGACTGAAAGAGGGAAAAAAAATGTGACCACCTGCCTTCTTCTCCCAGCACCTTCTTATTTTTCTTTTAAGTCGTGTATGTGTGTGTGCGTTTGTGGTGTTTGATCTCTCTGAAGAGAAAGGAATAGACGGATAAACTGGGTCTGTAGTAGGAGTCTAAAAGAAGAGCATCAATGGACTGAAACACTGCACTTTCTGCTTCAAGTGAAAAGTGCCTCAAGCAAAGGTAAGGAGCTGGGCGGGCAGAGCTAAAACATCCTCCGCAGGCTAGTCAACACCAAACATCCTGTAGAAGTTTCTTTGTACTAAATCAGCACAGCTTGAATAAGAATATCTGTGAGATTTCTGTGGTCTTAAGGCCATATAACAGGAGCCTTTTGGTTGGTGTTTAAATTACTCCATTTGGTTCCTTTTGTTATGATTATTGTAATTTTTTTTAAAACTAGTAATTTTGCCATGGTTAATGCCTAGTTTCCAGTTAAAAAATACTTTTGCGATAACATCGTGCACAGAGTCATCTTTGTGCAGGATTTGTTTATGTTTTGGGTAGCACATGCAGCACTTGTAATCCCCGAATGAGTGTTTCCTTCATGTTAAAGCATTATGAATAGGTTTCACACGTTGTAATGACCCTTAAATCAGCACTGTTCCAGTCAAAATACGTTTTTTTGGTTTGTTCTTTATTTAGGCCCCCTCGTCTTAGGTGGCATCGGCTCTTCTGAGTCAAACAAAAGGTGTACCTGTTTTGTTTCATATAGCGAGATGGGTGTTGACGTAAAGGGCTGTGCATCAAAATTTACTGTAGGGTGCAGCAGTACAGTGGCTTATGGCTTGGTGTTTGCCGTTTTATTTTTGGACTAGTTTATCAGGGTGATGCATGTTATGGGACAGAACCTAGTAGTTCTGTCTAAAGAACCTCGTCGTTTTGTGCTAAAGAGTGCAGCAGCCCTGTGCTTTATACATAATATACAGTGTGTGCTTTGTTGTTTCCCTTCCTTTGTTTTTGTTGTGCTTGCTGATTGGTAAAAAGGGAGGTGCATAGGGGTACAGATCACTACTGATGCCTTGTAGTCCCCTCTGTTAGAAAATCACCTTAAAGATTATGCTTGCTTTCAAATTGGAAAGAAATATATGTGCTATTTCCCCCCAAAAAGCACACTACTCTACACTACTCTGCTATTTTCACATGCACTAGTGTTTGCAACAGCAAGGTTTTTTTTTGTTTTGTTTTTAAATTGCTTTTGCATTATTTACACTGAGGGAGCACTAAAAGCAGTTTTGCATTTTACTGCTAGAATCCTTAAAGTCTATGTTCAGCAGTCTCAGCTTAACAAAGTCTGTGTGTGTCAGATCCCAGCCCAGGTGTCATTTTACACACGGATATCCCCCCATAATTCAGCAAGCCTTGACATTTTACTGGAATATTGCATTGTTCAAAACACTATGTGGCAAACTGTCCCCTGTAGGCAGATTGTCAGGCTGCAGGAAATTGATTGCACCGAGGAACAAATTATTCATGAGTCGAAAGTGGTTACTGAAAATGATTCTGTTATTGTGTGTAAGATGGAGCGTCTGCTCCTCCATGGTGAATTTAAGCCTGTGACAGTACTGAGGGATATACAGGAAAGTACATGTAGTAAAGCATAAAGATTAAAGAGAGGGTCTAATAAACTATTTCAAGCTTTGCAGTGTTTCATATTTGGATGCTGTTGCATGTAATAGATCTCAATTTTGACCTGGGAAATAACAGCTTTTCCTCCAAGCAGAGAAATGAGCAGCATGCCATTAACATACTGAAAAAGGCCAGTTCTGTGGACGTCCTTTGAGTCTCATTGATCTCCAAGTTAGGCGTGTGCTTCATGGCTGGACCCCAGAGTTTGTGACCTTTGCTTTTAGACCATTGATTTCTTTCACTGTCTTGTTTTGAAAGAAACTTTATGGGACTGACCTGGTCCTGAAAGTTTGTTGGGGGGCAGGGAGACTTACAAGAGTGATGTTAGATGCCTTGCTTTACTCAGCACTTACCGTTCCCCCGGGATGTCTGAGTGAGTATTATCCTAGGATAAAACAAAACATGAAATTAAACCACTCATGCATGAAGCAGTAATCTGCAGCAGTATTTGGCTGCTGAAAAAGTGCAGAGTAAAGGTAATACTGTTTTGATGTGCGACTGAAAACGTTCAACCACGGCAAGCAAAGTTTTTCCTGGCTCGGAACGGACCTTTGGGAGAAGAGTAAGCATGTAAGCACGAACGAGCTTGTGTTACCTTATTTGACAGAAATCTAAGAATTTTCTTGGTATTTTCCAGCGTTTGATAAACACAGATCTCCTGTTTAGCAAAGGAAACCCTTATTTAAACAAAGTAGTGAAAAAAAATATTACAGTGTTGGGAGTGGGGGTTTCCTTTGGATTTGGATAAAACTTGTGGATAAAAACAACAAAAAGCTCCCTGTGCAGGAAAAACCCTGGTTCAGTTATCAGTGTTGTTGTGCTAGGTGTTAGGTTACTAACGATTACTATGTTAATCCATATAAACTAGGCTTTCCCCGAGAGCACAGGACTCTACTCTCGTGCCCAATGTGTGCTAAGCTCATTTCCTTTAGTTAAAGTTAATGTCAATACCATTTCTGAGCTTGGTTACAGTGCCAGGGACAAAATCCATGAATCGATCGCTACGCCGTGTGTGCTTGTCCAACCAGTCTGCTTTGGATTACTGATTTTTCAAACCCATTCCTGCGTTAATGATGGTTCACATCTTTGTTCTGGATGGCTGCGTGTTATTTTTACATCTGTATCAGAGTCTTGTGCGTACCTGTTAAAGTTTCTACTTGAGCAACACTTGTAGTTCCTGCTACAGGCTGGTTTGTGCTGATGCCACGACCTGTCAGGATTAACAAGGATTACTAAGAGAGTAATGCTGCTGCTTATCAGGCCTGTATCTGTCACTGGCATCAGTGATGGATCTGCTTAGGTACCGGTGGATAACGCTCTCACACCCATTAGGTCAGGAGTTCACTTTTTGTGACAAGTTTTAACACGAGCGTCACAGAAAACATCAGAGAAAATGATAATTTACTCGTCATTTATAGGCCGAAAAAAGACAGCTCAAAAGATCACTTCATTACTCATGGTTACTCCTGCGTGTTTAAAAGTGCACCTTTCTTTTTGTGCATTATTCAGCTCATGTCTGAATAACATAATAGTGTGACACAGATGACAGCCATTGGAAGAGCTCACTCCCACCAGCTGTTACAGTTGACAGGTTGACATCAGCTTGCATTTACTGTTGATGTCATGTCAGATTTCAGACATGTTCGTTCATCCGTGAGAAATGGCACCCTTTTAATGCTTCTTATATTATTAAATATGAATTTGGAGGGTGTGAGGGTCTTTGATTTTACTTTTTGAGTCAAGTACCGGCGCTGTAGTTGTTACTACAGGTTTTGCAAAATTTTGAAAGTTAGTGGAGATCAGAAAGACCTTGAGCAAAACCCCTTAAATAAACCCCAGGTTACCCGGGTTTGTCAAAGCATCACGCGCCTACTTTTTCTCCACCAGAAGAAATTATAGAATCCCAGACGGCAGACTTGTGTGACTTGGCTTACCAGTGATTGATCACTGAACAGCTAGATGACAGACTGTCCTTGATTTGCCTCACGAATTTGATCTCTAATTCAATTACACTATTAACACTCAAAGCAGCAGGGCGGGATTAGACTGGGTGTTACAAATGGCCTGTCCAGAAGGCTAAGTCATGACTAGATCCAAAGCAATCTGTGTCAGTGAAATCCAGCATACACGCATACACGTTACAGAGCCGATAGACTTATGCTGAAGCTTGTTTTGTTTTTTTATTCTTGTTTTGTCTTCTCTGTTTTCTTTTTGTAAACACACAAAGGTTGTATTTTTCTTTAGTCAAGCTGGCTTTTCATCCCCCGAGAGGTCACTACTCTCATGATGAGTTAGCGTGTAAGACGTTTTACATGCAAGTATACTAATGTCTGTGCTTTTACTGTAGAACAGGAGCTGTTTTTTTCACACGTTAGTTATATACGTGAATCATGGTTGCTTAAAGGTAGTAATTGGCTTAGTCCAATGAGATAAATAGAAAAAGTTCCTGTGGTTAAATGTTTAGTGGCTTGTTTCAGTTTAAGTGTACTCATTTTAACATCTGGGCTCCCTTTGAAGCCCTCTCTGTTCACATGCCAATTAAATGGCCTTCCTCTGCTCCACTGCCTGAGGAAATAATCTGGTGTCCTCCTGCACCTGCAGACAAAGCCCCCACCCATCTGCCCCACAGGCTTCCCCTGTATGTGGTTGTTTCCACATGAAAGTCCTATATCCCGGTCTAGGAGCACATGCAAGTTAGGACGTATTTATTAGTTTTTTATTTTGTCAAAGTAACTGTGGAGCTGGTAGATAAGACAGTCGAGTGGTGCACAAACACTTCCCACATTTGTTGGCTGTCAGAAGTGACACAAAAAGAACAAAATCAGTGTCTTTATTTCTTTAATCCATTGTAAGAGTGCTGTTTATCCGTCACCCCTACTGACCAGCATTATTCCCACAGTCAGAGTAATCCGCCCTTATTTTTAGTGCACTGAAATTATTTTGTCATCCAAAAACTAATGACTATTTCCCAGACTTGCCCCTGACCACCCTCCTCTTCTTTGCTTGTGCAACCACATTCTTGCCTCTCTGTTTGCTTTAGAAAGGTGCAGCATAAAAGTTATTACTACTACCGCATCTCTCCCCCGGCTCAGCAGAAACGTTGTTGGTGTTGGTCAAGTGCGAGGAGATAAAAGCATCTTTGTGCTGTTCTATTCTGGGCTGTTTGTTTGCTCATGTGCCGCCAAGAGACTAAAGGTCTCAGTCAAATGAGTCAGACGCCCTGTGTTTCTGCAGTGAATCTCTGGTTGTAGCAGCGGCCAATATCCAACACCTCGCTGCTTTCTAAAAATACTCTCCGCCTTATATTACCTAAATGAACTTAAAGTAATAAGCTGGTATTAGGAGTACTGAATGACTTAAGGGAAGTGTGCGAAGGCTTCCGTTATGTTTGAAGGTCAGCAACTTAAACTTGTGCCTGCAATCCAATTTGAAGTAGAGGGCCTTGTGGTTCGCTCCAGCTGTTCTCTTTGTTCACTGGGAAGGAGGTCGGCAAGTCGTGAAAAAGTCCGGTCTGTGAGGCTTGTGAAAATGAAACAGTGTTAACAATATAACATCTGGAGCTGGGCGGTGCACCTTTCAATATTGCTCGTCTAACCTGTCAATTGCTGTTGGCCTATTTAGCATTTGACGAGACCTTCTGGATGAGCTGGACCAATCACAAGGACCAGGTTAATCTGTACGTACACCTAGAGTCTTGTAAAGTCCTTCTCTGTGGCCACACATAAACACACACATACACACACTTTGGCCTGTGCAATAAAACATCTACAAGATTCAGACTCCAAGCAATTGCCCTGTCTATTTGTAGCACTTGTTGAAGTAGCTTATTTACCTTAATCCAACCACAGTGCACACGTACAATTTTCCCCAGAACGATGTGTTTTGAAAGAATATGGTTATTTATAAACCAAGAAGCATCTGGAATGCAGTGCAGTTGTTGGCTAATGAGTTGATGTTAACTCGAGGGGTGGGGGGATTACATTTATCTGAGGGGGGATGTGAGGGATGTACTTGTGCAGCGGGGGGATCTGTGAACAGTACAGCAGTATTCTGATGAGGAGTAATCGGTATGTGTGGTCTTCCTTTTCAGGTTGGGAGATGTGTGAAGGAGTGTGACGGACGGCCATGGGACTGGAGAGACAGTGGCTTCAGGCTGTCACCACTGCTGTAGCCATTTGTCTGCTAAGTAAGTATGCCAATGCAAATACTGAGCCATTGCATATATTAACAGTGCATTTGTGTATTTTATTTCTCCTTGTTGAGCTTTCAGAGATTTTTTGCCTTTGGATTTCTTAGAATAACCCCCCAATACACCTGAACTGTCGTGTCATGAATTGAGCAATTTTTCAGCACACACACAGGAAAAGCAAACAATTGTAGATCTTTTTTCCGCTAACGTGATAAAACTGATTCCAAAATATGAGGCCCGATTATGCAACAATGACATTGAAACATTATTTAACATGTCCACATAGGGCTTATGTAGTATTACAGTACAGATTAACAGTGATAACAGTCTTCTTTATTGGATCACGCTTCTTCATCGTGCTTCACCGTTTTGCTCCTTATCGCCAATCTTTAGCGACTGAAATCTCTTTCACGACACTCTTAATAACACTTTTACCTTCAACTTTAAATTTCAGCTTCAATTTTAATTTGTTTAAAGTGGTGAAATGTTTGAATATTTACTCTGTGGCAGGGCAATGAAAATAACAGCTGGTTGTCAGAGAAAATGAGATTGGAGAGGTGATCATAAGATGTTTAAATATGCATATGCTGCACATTGCTTTGGACAGTTGTGTCCTGTCTTGGAACAAATGTAACTTTTCCTAACATTTGCTAATGTGAAGCTTAGTTTGATAATACATTTTCAGTCAATACTGCCTCCTTTGTTAAAAATAGGCCACTTTATGTTAACTTCTTCATTCAGACCCACCCACAACACTGATGGATTGAGTCTTGGCATGTGCACGTACAGGGCTTGTTGCACACGAGGTACTGAAGTGAAGTGTTGCCACACTTTTGTCTTGTAGTAAGAGGAGTGCATGTCTGTGTGTGGTTCACAATACTACAGCAAGTAGTAGCTATCACTGCCCTTTGCTCTCAGGCTCAGAGAGAGAGCTTGTATGTATTTATTGAATGTATTTATTGAAGTGTAGACCATTTACCAAACACTTTTTTTGCGAGCTGAGTAATGGACAGAAGCGATATGCAAAGGCATAATCTTCCTGAGTTCAGGTTGATGCTGAAAGTGATACTTAAATGTTACTCAGTCTGATCTTGTGAGATTGCTGCTGTGGCTTATATGGAAAGCGACCAGGGTGCACACTCAAACATAAAGCTGATACATTCATATGCCAGCAGATTAATGGAAAGGAGTGCTTGTCTGAAAGGGGATTAAGCCAACCAGTTGTTTTGCTCCATTTTGCGGTTTGTTTACATATTTTCACCAAAGTTGTTGCCAAATCTTTTACCTGCACTAACAAAGCTCGGATGCTTTGCAAAGCAGCTGGCATATGCTCCTGTTTTGTTTCTGCACGCAGTTTGAATGACACCATGATGACTATGGCACTGATCCAATTCCCTTGTGCTAGAGAGAGTGAAGAGGAGGGGTTACAGCTCAGACATGAGTGGACGAGAGAGAATGGGGACAAAATCCAACTTAAATAATATCTCTGGGTGTGGATTTAGATCAATCCTGGATTTATGCTACCCCCCAACCCTCAGCACGCTTCTGTGTGTGCGTGCTTGTGTTTGCAAGGGGGAGTGATGGTGGTGGGATTGATTGTGCTGGCCCATAGACCATGTGTGGACCCCAGGGGGTAGTGGGAGGTCGACTGGAGCGGCCACAGAGCGTCCTGCTGCCCTGCATCAGAGTATCGCCACCAACCCCCACCCTCTGAGATTAAAGTAATCACCAGGCCAGATGAGTAGCAGAGCAAACACTGGCACCCAGTCGCTCACACACCCACATGAGCACATGGCAGCAAAGGGAGATGGGATAGAGACAGGAGAGACTGCTCCAGGTGTCACTAATGGGATTGCTTTGTGTTTGCAGGCTTTGCAGCAATACGATCTTGTCACCAAATGGCACATGGATGTTTTACATGCCCTCAGATGGCCCGGCTTTTAACAGTCTGGAAAAGTCATATGCAATGTCCACTTCAGAAGAGCATTCATGACACTGTTATGACTCTTTCCACCAGGTTTTCTCTGTCAGGGCCTCTCGCTGCCTGTGTGGTCACAAACTCTTGTCTTCTTGTCCCTCAAGTTCCCCTCAACTTCTTATCATAGCAAACAATTTTCACAGAAACCAATGACCAGAAGATTTCAAGGAATGTTAATTTAGCTACTTTGGTAGCCATTACTCACTTCAACAGGCCTTGAGCTGCATGATTTATGTGTTTACTCAGATGTGCGCTATTTTATGGACTTTGCACTGTCAGAAAATGTCTGCAGGGAAACGAGTGCTTTATCCCGCTGATATGCTGTTGTCTTTACAGGTGTGTCTCAAGGTGCAGCATCGTTGGTTCGTGCCCGAGAGGGGAGCTCCGCAGAGTTAAGCTGTAGCCTCGCTCCTACATCCAGTGAAGCCACCACCCCAAGCCTCTTTCCACTACATGTGGTGGAGTGGGTGCGCCTTGGTTACAGCGTTCCTGTCCTCATCAAATTTGGAGTGTATGCTCCTCGTGTTCATCCCAACTACAAGGGTAAGCTTTATTCGGATCTGCTCAGTCATGCACTCCTTTCAGGAAACTGATGAAAGACTTATTACTTGGTTGACAGCGCAACCCCCTGAAGTAGAGGTAGATTCCCTTGAAGACCTCACGTCGTGTAAATCTTTCTTCGCCTGCTTTTTGTGGTTCCACTCCCATAAGTGAGCTTTAAAAGCAAGTAGGAAATAGAGAAAAAGCCAACAACGTAAAAGTCTCTGATCAGCGGACAGATTGCTCAGGTCGTGTTTCAGAAGACTTTTTTTGTGAGGGGAGGGGGTAAAACTTCCTTAGCTCATTTGTCTTGTGTGGGCAAAGATAGACATAAGGAGGTTACAGTGGTATTTTTGAATTACTGGGGAGGGGAAGTTTGGATCAAACAATACCCTAAAAAGATAATCCGTCCAAAGCACGGTCCCTGTAATTACAGCTGGTGTTCAGTCTGTGTGTTTCCAGAGTGCAGTTATACTGCAGAGGAAAGGGGAAGGATGAGAATGGATGTGTTTTAATGGAGGCAGTAAAGGGTGGGGGGGTGGGGCAGCTGAGCAATAACAAGGGGGGTACCAGTAACGCTGCTCACAAGGGGATTAGGAGTGTAGGTGGGGGCTTGGTGGTCTGATGACAGTGTTTTATTAGTATGCTGAGGGGTGACCCAGTAAGGGGAGATTGTTGTGCTGGAAGGAGGATGGATGAAGCAATCGGAATAATGGGAGTTTTCTTGCTGGAGCCCTATAATCCTGTCATTGTCTACCAGGGGACAAAAGACAAAAAAGGGGTATCACAACCTCCCATTGCTTTGCCAAAGCCAACAGGACTAGTAGGACACCCCAAATCCCATGCAGTCCCAACTAGGTCACAGAAATGTACAGAGAACCTCGCTGGATTTGTTATGTGAGGACATACAGGAGGTGCTCAGAGAATCAAGCTGCTGATTTAGAAACATGTTTTCAGCTTTGGACGACTCTAGAACCCCACTGAACATTTACAGCGGTCGAAGCACAAATCATGCTCCCACCCCCCAACCCCCAAAACATGCAATTGGGCTAAATGTGTTTAGCGGTCTTGTAGGCAGTTAACCATATTATTGTTTAGGAGCAGCCATCTGATACACATGCAGCCATAATGAAGTAAATAATGCAGCAGAGACGTAGCTCAGAGTACAAGAATGTTTAGGGGGTGTCTCCGTGTTTCTGGCAAATTCACCCGTTGCGTGTACTTGTCTGGTGCGGGCTTTTCCCCAGTCTGCATTAGATCCTCATACCTCCCCTCCCACTGAAGGCAGATGGCAGCATGTGAAGCGTGTCAGTGTTGTGGGTCTAATGTATTCTACTCTCAAATTAAAAATGTTGTGGGATTTCAGCTTTAACCACAAGACGGTGAAGTCGGCCACCATTTCCTGGTCTTTGTCTTGGCTTGTTTGAGGACAGGAACAGGAGAATGAGGATGATTTAATTTTAAGGCTTAAGATCAAGAAACGGTTAAGAGATCAAGATAATGAATTATGGGGAAAGAATTACATTGTTGTTCAGTATTTGCAGCATAATGGCCACTTCCATTAGAGCTAAGTAAGGTATCAGACTTGAATTTGTAATACTAAATAAGTATTTAGTGAAGAAAAAGCACTACCAATGGGCTGTCTGCCCTTTGTCTGCTGCTTTGTGTCAAGCTCACTGAGGCTATTAACAATTTTAATCTGGGCAAGTTGTATCTCCATTTCCTTTTTCATCCCATTAAACCACCATCTTTTTGATAATGATATCAGGTGTCTCTAAGATTGTACTCTGCATTTGAGGAGTGTCCCAACTAGACACCAGCCTCTCCAGGTCTCAGAGACCATCTCTCGTGTCCTCTCGAGAGAATATCCAGTTCGTGCCGCTCACTCCTCTGCCTCTCTGTTTCACACACAGCATGCCATGGAGATCTGAACATTAGTCAGCTCAGAACAAAGAGCAAACAGCCAGATAAACTCTGACTGACACGCTGCTGTTATATTTGTTGAGACAATATGTTGGAGTCTTGCGGTGTCAGGATGGTTTACCGTTGCAAGTCTAGATCAAATACGTCCTGTGTGCTGAAGTAAATGAGTGGCGATTGTGAGCGTGGGGGGGGGACTCTGACCTGAGGTTAGAAGGATAATAGGCAAACCCCGAGATCTCAGCAGGCCTCCATCACACTCTCAGTGTGACCTCAAACAGTGGAGAAGTTAAAGCCTGCATTTGTCACACACACAAGACAAGTTTTTATACCCGAGTATGTACAGACAGTCTTTCCCCTGATAAACTTATATGGAATTTCATATTAACTCACTGAGCTTTAGCAAACAACGCTCTGTTTGAGCAGAAAATAGATCACTGAAATGTGAAACTGAGGGCTCCATGATCTTCAACCAGTTTTTCTGCTATAACTAGACCAGCGTGATGAACAGCAAACAATGACACAATAGAAGAAGAATACATAGCTGCAACTTGGGGATTTCATGTTCACGAGCTTAGAGCAGCAGGCCACCACAGAGGCCCTATTACCTCATACCTTAGGTTAGCCAGCTAGGCACATATTAAATCTGTGAGATACAGGCCAAGGGCTTCAAACAGCTTCCATAAAGACTTGTAGGGGAATAGCTCAAGTAACCAATGCTCACTATAAGGAAAAACTTCAGCAAAATCTGGTTTTCTACCTGCAACTTTGCCTACAACAAGTTTGATATTCACAAATTATGGCATGTCTAACTGAACAACTTTAAAATTTAACAACTGGCAATTATTAACATCAGTGTTATCTCTTCCTGAACCGAAAACAGCTCAAGATCAACTTCTGCACTGGAAAACAGCCCAAATACATCTCACAGCACCGACCTACGGATTTTAATTTCAGAGATTTTAATATTAAAACTAATACTTTTTCTTTGCGATCATGTGTAAGAGCTAATGCCTGTGATAAGTTGAGTTCCCATTGTAGTGAAATTCAGCACGTGAGCCGTGTGTGCTCGCTCGGCCAGAGTTGGGCAGAACAAGAGGGACAGAGTTAACTGTAATCTATCTCACGACAAAGAGCTATTCATAAGAGGGTTTAACTGATTAGGGGGACAGGAGGATTGAAGAGAGAAATTTGGGGGAACGGGAGGGGTGAGCTGTCAGAGGCAGGGGGTCGGTCTCAGACTTATGATTGTATTCAAATCAAAACACGTCCCACAATGCACTTCTGCCCGGCTCTCTTATGCACATACGAGTAGACAAAGAAAAGCAGCGCTGGTGCTTCTCCAAACAGAATAATCTTTCTTCCTCACTCGCTATTGTCTGGCATAAAATTCACAGTACTCCATGCATTACTTTGTCAGTAACTTCCAGTGGGAACTCAAAAGGCTAAAAATCACATGTTGGTTCATTCTGCCGGAACAATTAAAACCTTGTGCCGAGGCTATGGTAGTCACAACAATAGGCAAAGAAAGTGCTGTGCATCATAAATGTAAGTGTGAAATATGATGTGTTGCACTGCAGAGGTTTCACTTGCAGAAAAAGATGCATTAATCTAAACAGGAGATCAGATCAGTGAGGTGAAGCCAGCTACCGGCCAGTGGCACGGCTATAAAAGAACAGTTGCGCCTAACCTACCACCCACTAGGCGAGAACCTGACAGGCTAATATGAGCAGGGTGTGTTTCGGAGCTTCAAACAGCGCTGCTGGATTAGCGTTTCCATTTTCTTCCCATTGGCTGCACTGCAGAGCAGCTCAACCTGTTGGAAACAAGTGCTCATTTTAAGATAGACTGTAGCTGTCATGCGATTGCTGCTGGAGCAAAAACAGTGAGGAGGAGGAGGAGGAGGAGGGTTGAGATGAGATGGAGGAGCAGTTATGGTTACAGCAATCCTCTCCCTGAGTGCCATAGAGCCTAATCATGTTTGTCTCTCGAGGACTCGCGGACATTGCGCTGATGTAGGACCAGGGAGAGTGATGAATGGCGTCTGTTGGAGCACAGAGGTCAGGAAGGTCAACCTCTCATTGGTTGCCTGTGGATTATTGATGAACCAAATTCGACTAACCTCTCTGTAACCTCTTGCTCAGTTCCTCTGGATTTAATAACAGGAAGTGTTTTTCACTGGTGTGGTTTATAATTTTCCCAGGTTTTGTATTCAGCTGTTGCAGAATATTTGCATTGTGTCTGAGAGAGAAAATCAGCCTTTCAGTGAACATCCTTAGGGTAGAGCACCTGCCGAGTGCCATCTGAGATTTCAGTTCAAGTCCGAAGATGCAACATTCATATTTAAATAAAGCAACATTTGTCACGCAGCCTCCGTGTGTGCTCGGCCTCTTTTTGCGCTTCTCATTAATTTCTCTCACTCTTCCTTCTGCTCTTGGATGTGACACAAGATCCCCCGCTCCTTTCCAATTGTAATTTCTCAAATCTGTGACAGTACAATCCCCCCTCCCTCCGCTCGCATGATCGACCCGTGTTTGGCCGTGGCGTGTTTCTACAGCAACTGAATTCAAATCTAAACCTACAGCCCGGGCTTTTCTTGGTCTAGTCTCTATGGTAACCTGAGAGAATGAGGAATGAGGGGGGGGGGGGGTTCCATGTCTTTGTGGTGACGGATAAGAGGGAGGCTACGGGAAAGGGTTAAGTGTTCAGCAGTGAAACCCAAATTTCCCTGTGTAGACTCAGGGGGCAGGGCACTCAGATTTTGAAAATCAACATGTGTACACACCCACGTGTTTCTGCAAGATCAGTGCCCGGGGCAGACGGACACGTTATAGCACCAAATCAGATGGATTTTTTTAAGTATCCCATAAGGTGGAAGTCAAAAAGAGGATGATGCTGCGCCTTCTCTTGTCCTGCAGTTGCTGATTAATTGCAGGTCTAATTAGAAAAAGTGAAAAAGGAAACAAGAAGCTCGGGAGAGGATCCTAAGGATCAGGATAGGAGAAAAAATACCTAAAGTTATCCCGTAGCTGTTATCATCTAGCCCTGCCCAGTTGTTTGAAAGATGCTGAGCTGAAATCAGAGGTATTCATTTTATGGAGCCTCTAAGTAACACTTGCCTGTCTTCCGGGAGGTCAGTCAATCATTAAACCTAGCTATTTAGCACAGCAACTGCCCCAGTCAGGAATGCAGGGTTAATTGTTAGCCATTGTTGCCTGTCTTTACTCTCAGTGTGTGTTTCACCCGGTCTTTAGGCCATATACAGAGTTAAATGACTTTCATAGCTGCCAGGCTCTCTCCAGACAGCGTCTGGAGAGAGCTGGTGTGAATAGTGACGATATTGTATTTCTTGCGATATTGTTGCTTCAGGGTTGCAGGGCATTCAACGATTCTGTCCTGTTGAGCTGGAGAAGATGATATCTATGCTGGCTGCTACTTTTTTTTTTTTTTTTGCAGTGCTTTACTATTATTACTTTGCAGAGATGATTGATTATGACACTTTATCTAAGCAACGTGTTAGGAGCAAGCAAGAATTACAGGACGCTGGACACTGATGGGTAGCTGTTTACTTTCAAACTGCTTTGGCAGGGCCTGGTATGAGCAACGTGTGTGTTTCCTTCCTGCACGCATCCTCCTGTCTTTTAAAACTCTGTGATTGAAGGGCAAGAAAAGAGTTCATTGAGAGACTGAATAAAAGGAGGGGGTGTACCCTGAAACCAGGCTGCAGTCACCAGGCAACCAGCAGATCAAGTTTCAAAGCCTGACAAGGAGTTGTAAGAAGTACAGAGAAGAGGAGAGGGAGCAGACCAGGGGCTGTGTGTGACAGGAAAATGTGTGTGCGTGCTTGTGCGTGGATCCATCTGCCTTTTAATGGCGTTCACACACGAGTTCAGAGCGTGCATCTGCCAGGCACTTAGATTGTTTACTACTGTCCATTGCCCCCGCCTAACAAAAAACGGCTTATTTTTATCACACACTGCGGTGAGTTTCTCCTTTAAGCTTAAACTACATTCAAGTATTCCTGGCATACTCATCTTAGCTCTCCACTTCACCAACCAAACCCTAAATGACAGGACAAAATCTGTCATCTTGCACATCGTTATAATCATCACTGTAGTGATTAGTGTCTTTCAACTCTGTCTCAGGGCCACTGACTTCTCATCACTTGAGCTGCAAATTTTCTTAATTATTGGTTTTGTTACTCGCTGCAAACATTCGAGCTACAGTTGCTCTTCGCACTGTTCGTGGGTGTGTCTGTGACTTTGATCGTGCCCATTGTGACACTGGGTCCTGTGCATGATAAGCCCTTTCCTGCATATGCTGACTCTGCCTGTCTGCTTGCGTGTATGTGCTGACTCTTTCTCTGTCCCCCTCACCCCTCCTCTCACAGGCCGTGTGTCTCTGACCCGGGGCGCCTCTCTGCTGATAGAACGGCTGACCCTGGAGGACGAAGGCTGGTTCGAATGCCGCATCCTGCTCCTGGAGAGCAAAACCGACGACTTTCGAAATGGCACATGGACCTTCCTCTCCATCACAGGTGCAGCACCGCAGGGTTTTGGGGACTCGAGATCTGCTCCTTTCGTTGCTCATCACTGGCACTGTCCTTATTTAGAACAGCTACAGCATGGGGCCTGGCTTGGACTCTGAAGGCCCTGGCAAGCTGAATAGTGTTATTCCAGTGTATGAAGAGGTTCTAAGTGACATACCTTGCACCCAGTAATCACATCGTGTCTGTCTGTGCCTAGCCTGCTGTGAAGTAAGGCTGGCTTTTAGAATGGCACTGTATCCTTGGTTTGTGTTTTACATTCAAAAAGCTTTTAACCCACGTGCATCTCCGGCTCTCTCACCTGCGCTGGTTATGTTGTGGAACACTTAGAAGTTAAAATGAAAGTGTGACGTGAGTATTAGATATGATTGAAAGCCTACATCAGGATCGACGTCAAGGCTTATTTTTGGAACACAACAGTGTTGCATTGTGCATAAATTGGAATCTGTTTAGAGTATTAGACACTGACAGTGATGATATTTTTAATGCAGAGATTGCATATATTTTTCAGCATGGCAGTGTTGTGTAGACATATGTGCCTCTGTCTGCCAGTTGGACGCTTACTAGTTATTGTGCTACAATTACAACGTGTCTAGCTAAATATATTCACAGTAACTTATGAAAATCTCTCCTTGTCGCCACTTCATATCCATGCCTGTCTCCACACACTTGTCAGAGCCTGAAATGACTTACCACTGAGTTCTAATGTAGTTTTAGAGGAGCCACAGGTGGTACTTCTAAACCACAGCAAATCATATCTGTTCCTTTGGATTAGCTGTTGGAGTAGTTCTCCATTTTAAAGTTCCTTTATGTGTCCTTTATGAGTATGTGGATGAAAATAAGTGGTCTATTTGATCTGTCTTTGTTTCAGCTCCACCCGTGTTTATTAAGACACCGCCAACTTTTGTGGAGGTTCTGCTCGGTGACTCGCTGACTCTCAGCTGTGGAGCCCATGGCAACCCTCGACCAACTGTCGTCTGGCATAAAGACGAGAGCCTAATTGAGAAACATGAGAAAATAAAAGTGAGGGGGATTAACAGATGGCATTTTCAGTATTCTAATTAAATACTTAATAATTAGCATTTTCTGCAGGAGTTGCAGCTTTGATTTTTCTTTGAAGCAACCTGCTTTGTTGTTCTCTTCATCTCTGCCTCATAGTTTTCCTCTCCCGTTCCATCTTTGTCTTTGATCGTCTTTACCTTGGCCTCTTTTCAGGTGCTGAATGGTAGCTTGTCTTTGGCCTCTGTCACACGAAATATTTCTGGAGTTTATAAATGTCACGTGTCCAACTCAGAGGGGAACCTCACCCACTACACGCAGCTGCAGGTCAAAGGTCAGTGTTTAACTATAAGTCATTGTAGACAGGTGTAATGTCTGCCTACCTCACGATAAGCAACAGCACAAATTATGTTTAGTGAAATTGTCAATGTATATTTTTTTACATCACTTAAACATGCTGCTTAAACCGTGGTTAAATAAAATAGTGTATAGTGCCACCTACAGTCTTTTCCTTGCATTGCAGCAAATTAACAATTAAAAAAAAGGTTCTCCCGCCATCATCAGTTGTCCATCAATTCTGGTCATTCTCGTCTGTCTTGTGCTTTGTACAGGCCCTCCAATCATCCTCATTTCCCCAGAGGACACCACTCTCAACATGTCCCAGGATGCAGTTCTGCAGTGTCAGGCTGATGCCTACCCATCAAACCTGACATATGAATGGTTGAAGCAAGGACAGAATGTTTACCATATTGAGTGAGTCCATCATTTCAAAATATCCATTAATATTTTTAAAACAGCCCTCGGACAGATTGGCGACCTGTCTACGGTGTCCCCCGCCTCTCGCCCTATGGCAGCTGGATAGGCGCCATCCCCCTGTGACCCTAAATTGGTTAAGCAGAAGAAAACGGATGGATGGGTCTCAATACAGAACCTTTTAAAATTAATAATATTTTAGTTGCTTCAGCAAAGTGTTTTTGTGTCAGTTATTTTGAACGCCTCTTCAAATGTTTATCTTTTTGGTTTCAGATCACTTAAGTCTCGAGTGAAGGTTTTGGTGGATGGAACACTTCTTATCCCTAATCTCATCCCGGAAGATGCTGGAAACTACACCTGTATCCCAACAAATGGGATACTGAGCCCACCCTCAGCCTCTGCCCATCTGAAAGTTAAACGTTAGTCTCTTATCCTGCTGGCATTTTTGTGGTTGCACTTACCAGCGTTCCCTGTGAAGTGAGCACTGTAGTAATTTTTTGTGAGTGATTTTTCTTCTGTCATTTTAGATCCTGCGCGTGTAGGCCGAATGCTGCGGGAAACATATTTGCCCGTAGGCATGGAGGGGGTCATTGTCTGTCCTGTCCAAGCCGATCCCCCTGTGCTGTACGTCAACTGGACCAAAGACGGGAACGTTTTAAATCCTGATAATGTAAGTCATGCGCCATGAAATTGAAATGTTTCACTGAGTAGAGATTTTCACCAAAGGGAGTTTGGAATCAATCTTTGTACCTATCCAGTACCCAGGTTGGATGGTGAACTCAGAGGGCTCAGTATTTATAGCGACAGCCAATGACAATGCTGTGGGTATGTACACCTGTACGCCTTATAACAGCTATGGCACCATGGGGCAGTCTGAACCCACCCGTGTCATCTTAAAGGTAAGGCTGTTGTTCTCAACTCAAGTCTTTAGTATCAGGAAGATGATGCACACTAATTAACGAGCAAAAGTAAAAAGGCTCTTTCCGTCCTCCAGGACCCACCATCGTTCCGCGTGCCTCCTCGACCTGAGTATTTCCAGGAGGTGGGCCGGGAGTTGATCATCCCCTGTGAAGCCAGTGGAGACCCTGCTCCAAACGTGACATGGAGCAAGGTACGGGAAATTCTCACGGATGCAGCAACGCGTACGTATTAATTCCTTATTTTAACTAATCTGTGTCCTCCCTCACAGATTGGCCCTACGCCTCGCTCCCCATACACTGTATTGGCTAACGGCTCCCTCCTGCTGCAGCCAGTTAGTAAAGATCACCACGGGGGTTGGGAGTGCCTGGCCACTAATCGTGTAGCCACTGTCAGTGCAGGCACAGTGGTCATGGTGCTGGGTGAGTGATCAACCGCATCTCTGCAATAAATATGTGACTCCTGCATTCACTGAATTCAAGTGTACTGCCAGCAGTTCAAAGTGACGTTCTCCTCCTCAGGCACCAGCCCTCACGCTGTGTCCTCAGTGTTTGTCACCACAGAGGTGAACCAGGCAAATGTGTCCTGGGTGCCAGGCTTTGATGGTGGATTCACCCAGAAATTCACTGTCTGGTCAGTGACATAAAATACATAAAATATCACACAATAGTTAGATCCATTTTTTTTTTGACTGTTTTGTTTTTCTTCCAGGGTCAAGCAGGCATCCAGGGGGAAACATGAATGGGCGTCTTTGCCAGTGCCAACATCTAAAAACTACCTGCTGGTGACTGGGCTACTTGCCGCCACTGGCTATCAGTTCAGCGTCCTACCTCAGAATAAGCTCGGCTCTGGACCTTTCAGCGAAATTATAACTGTGCGAACTCAAGGTTTGTACAACTGAACCTATGCTTTGGGTTTGATTACCTCTTACACTTTTTACTACGAGTATTTATAAGTATTAACTTATACTTTGCTTTCTTACCAGCTGTGCCAACAGAAGCACCTACAGCTGTCACCACTCTCCCAATTCTGGATCCTCCCATATTCCTGTCAGCCAACCGGACCGAGCAAGGCGTTCTGCTGCGATGGTTTCCTCCCGAAGCTCCATTTTCTCCACTGACAGGTTATGTACTGCAGGCCCGCAGGGATCAGGGGCAGTGGGTCATCCTCACCAGCAACATCAGCGCCAATCAGAGTGACCTGCTTGTTCAGGGGCTGCTGAGGGTAAGTTCTTATACTTAATTGTTTTATATGAAATTAAAGATATACTGATTTTTTATGAAAAGCCACTCTTTAAATGAGTGCTAGTTTATGTCTATAATAAAAATCCTGATCCGTCTCTCTCAGGACTCGAATTATGATCTGAGGCTTATGTCTCGCTGCAGTAAAGTGCTCAGTGAGCCCAGCGAGTCTGTCAATGTATCCACCATCGGTATGTGGCTTTGTACAAATTACTAAAAGCATTACACCCCTCAAGTTGATAACTGCTGGAATTAGTGGCCTCTGACTGGTCTGATTACAGGGATGGAGGTTTACCCCCTGCGCCCAAGTCTCTTGGAGGTTATCCCTGAGCCGCTGTTGGCTGGTGTGTTAGCTGGAGTGTGCTTCCTGTTTGTGGCCATCGTTCTGTCTTTGGTGACAGCATGCTACATGAGTCAGAGGAGACAGCGCCGGCGCAGGAAGAGAAGACAAGGTAAAGTGTGATTTAATCATACAAACACAAGTTTTAAATTTGAAAGTTTGAGCACGTATACTTTTCCCAAGTTTAAGTTAATTATATGATTTGAGAGTTTCATCCGTGCTGGTGTCTGATATTTTTTCCTTTCCTTACATTTTGGCAGATCTGCCATCTGCACTTCAGAAGAGCACATCTCAAGAGTAAGTGTAGGAATCCCCCTATTTATATTGTATTTGAAATAGACCACATGCAGTAATATTTATTTATGGTGCTGTTGTAAAGCTTATTTTCTAATTGATATATGATTATTATGTACATGTGATAAAACGGTAAAGGCAGCTATTTTTATTCTCTGTTACCACGGAAGAAGCTGAGCACAATCTTCAGCTTTAATCAACTTTAACAGCATTTATTTCCTGTCTGACTTTCTCAGAGTTCGCTCACCCCCTCGCAGTCCAGACAGTGTCCTGAAGCTGAAGCTGTGTCCACCACTTCCTTTCTTTCCCAACTCGTCCTGCTCACAGTCCGATCGATCCTCGTTTGACAGGGGAAGTCACGGCGAATACCACGACCAACGGAAGCAACTCTTGTCCAATTCTTCTCCGCCACCTCATTACACACTCTTTGAGAGTCACCTGGGGTCTCAGGCGCCCTCACCAAGTGCTCTGGAGTCCATTTCCAGAGGTCCGGATGGACGCTTCATTGTCCAGCCACTGCCAGAGGGTTCTAGTCCCTTGAATAGAAAACATTTAAAGAAGACTGTCCTACAAAGTAATGGTGGAGCTGGTGGGGCAAGTGGCTCAGGAAGCAGCAGGACATCCTTTAGGGACTCTGCAAAGTCGAGCATTTTAAGCTCAGAGAAAGATGAGAGGAAGGATTCTCCTCTCACGGTGGATGTCCCGGAGCTGAGCAGGCCTCCTTCCTCCCCTGGAAGAGTACGGGCCATGGCCAGAAACTTCTCCCGTCATGGCTGCTTTTATTCTGATGACGAGCAAAGCTCAGAGGCTCTTTTAGAAAGAGCCAGCTTTTATTCAGACAACAGTGAGAAGAAATCCAGTGATCCTCTGAGGAGGTATCGCATGACAGGACACACAGAAGACCTGCTGCCCTCCTTTGGAAGGAGGACAAAGCTTCTGGATAGAGACACAGACAGGCCGCAGCCTTCAAGCTATGAGCCTATGGAGAGTCAGTTGACTAATAACAGCACCTTAGTCTCACAACTTGACAGTGAGCTGGAGAGGGATAACATTAACAAGTGTGTCCAGCTGGCAAAAGAGAGGGAAGAAATGGAGAGAGAGCTAAAGAGCTATACAGCTGAGCAAAGAAGTCGAAATCGTGGGAGAGATGAACATCAGACTAATAAAACAGAAAGTCCTCAGAGGGATGAGCCTGAGTCAGAAGAAGAACCTGTATGGAAACCACAAGATGTTAGTATCAGACAGAAACATAGGCCTTTGGGTCAAACAAGTCGCGTGTCTGACTATAGGAGAGCGTGCTACTTTGGCAACACAAGCAGTCCCATGGACCGGCTCCCCATGTCTCGCATTCAGTGGGACATTAGCCCTGTAACATCTGTGACCAGCCTTATTCCTGTACAGACTCCTCAGGAGACCGCATCGCCCAGGCCACGGCGTCCTCGCCTCTGTAGAGAAACCACAGAGGACTCGCTTGCTGTTGATTCATCACAGTCTCCGGTCACCCAGAACACCTCTCTCCCCACAATCTCCCCTGATGTTACTAGTGAACCCCCTTCTATGTGTGTCGACGAACCAGATCGAGCGCGGTCACTGAGTCCTCAGGGAGATCCTGATATATACATGAAGTCCATCAATGAGCAGGACATAATGGAAAAGACACAGCATGAAGATATTGCAGGACGGAGGTCAAGGCATTCGTATGCTTATGGGGGCACTCATCTCTGGGAGACAGCTGCCAAAAGTCCTTCATTAATGAGTGAGAGGCCTGAAAGTTCAGCTTCTTCACCTTGTAATCAGCCTGAGAGACCTGCAGACACAGACTACACATCCACAAGGGATCCCAGTACCTCCAGTTACTCTACTTTGCCTTATGAGCATCACAAAGTGGGGCCAAAGGCTAAAGGCAGAGAGACTCCAGTCCAGGATGACCGACGAAGTTCAGGATTTTACTCTGACTTAGAGAAAGAAGGAATCCGAGCACGCTCCCGGAGGAGCGACAGATGCCTTTTCTCTGACAGCCCTAGCCCCATATCATCCTTAACTCTCGTGGAAGAAGCCGAGAGCGACCAGTCTCAATTTTCTGTCCCCAGAATGTCAGACTCCTTCAAGGCCAAGCCCACAGCTCAATCTCCCAAAATGTCCCCACTCCAGACAAGTGCAATTCTCGAGTATCTGAGCCTTCCTGGTTTTATTGAAATGAGTGTGGATGAGCCTGTGGAAGAAGTCACAGACAGCAAAGGGGAAAACTCAGAACTAAAGCCAGAAAAATCAGTGGTGGCTAAACCTGATGTAGTTCCTAAAAACTGGGAGGTTCATGTTCAGGAAAACCATGAAACTGGCTCAAACCAAGAAGCGGTTTGCTTTAAACAAACTCATTCTGCAGGCGCTGCTGAGGCCAGCTTTGACACTAGTAAAAAACAAGATTATGGACGTTCCCGCCATGGGGAAGCTAGAGTAAGATTTCCTGATGACCCAAAACCATTCTCACCCGGCCCAGAAAAAACTAGCAAGCAGCTCTATGATGAGAAAACAAAGATTCAGGTTGGAAATAAGAGCACATACAGGCCCGAATCCAGACTTGGGTCCAGGTCAGCTCACACCTTGTACAGTGCAGCTAAAGGCATGGCGGATATAGTGTCAAAACACTCACAGAGTTTTGTAGACAGTAGTGAGTCTTTATCAGAGCAATCCCAAAGACAAGCTTCTCAGGGCAGCAGGACTAATAACATTGTATCGCGTATAAATCAAGCCCCTGTGCCATTTCTAAAGAAATCCTTAAGCATAGGTCCCTGCAGGACTCTTTCAGGTATGGGACAGCCTCGTCCTTTTCTAAAGAAATCTATCAGTCTGGGCCCACAGAGGTGGGAGCACTTTGAGAGCCCAAGGACTTATATTTCTGAGAGATGCTACTGGGACGAATTCCCAAACCCAGACGTCAGGGTGAAGTCCTATAGTTTGGGTCGCACACCGCCTTCCCTCCCCAGGCCAGGCCCCTCCTGGAGGGAGTATGTCCCGTTCAGGCGCCCCAGCATGGGCAGCTTAGAGAGGCCTCATCACGCACAAAGATCTTTAGCTAGTCCTTCCTACCTCACGCCTGCTGCATATCTACCCAGACAAACCTCAGTCTCCCCACTGATGGAACCCTCCGATCCACGACGGCAAGCTACCGTTTTCCCAGAATCCTCCAGATGGTCCCCCACTTATCCTGAAGCTCTGAGGTCTGTCCAACATAAATATGTCCCCATGCCCTCCTCTATCCCCATCCCCCACTACCAGCACCAGCACTGGGCAGGATCCAGAGGGGAGGGCCTGAAACCCATGGACTCAAGGAGAGGTCCTCCGAGGTCCTACCTGCCCAGGGGCATTAGCTGGCCCTCACCTTACTACGCCCCTTTCCCACCACGAGAGGGAGAGATCTACAGGCATCCTGACAGGATGATGGGGAGGGGAGGGGAGACCGAGATCCGGGAAGGCAGAGAAATCAGGGAGGGGGGCAGGGCCAGTTATGCCAGTCAGAGCAGTGGTAGAGGGAGTGCTGGACTCTTCCGGCAGTCCCTGTCCATCACTCCCACGCTGCTCAGCTCCCCAGAAACCACAGAGGAAAATGAGCGTCACAGAGCTGACATGGATTTGCCTGAGAGGAGAGCGAAAAGGTGAAACACCGTCACACCTGAAAAAGCAAAACAAACTGGAGCGTCCTCACGGCTGAAGGACTTCTTTCTGTTGCCAAAATAACATTAATATTGTCATTTTACTTGTTGGTAATTGCTTTTATTCTTACCACCTTGTTTTGTGTGTCTAGAAGGAACACATCAGTAGATGAGAGTTATGAGTGGGACTCTGCTGATGCCTGTGTGGACTCTGAGGTCCTGGAGGCCACAAAGTTTGATCAGTCACAAACAGGTTTACAGAGAGGCAGTCGGGATCAAGCCGGTGGCCTCCAGGATCAGCGGTTCAAAGGTGACTATTTCTGTTACTTTTCTTCTTTATGTTGCATGTTTCCTTATGAGTGAAATGCTTAGGCAGGATTCACACGGATGTGTTTCATGCTTCGGTGCTCTCACTTTTTGCACTTTGATATTACCCCGACTAATTTGCTAGTTACATTAAATCTGGTGACATCACATGTTGCCAAACTAATTATGGATCCATTGCTTTGCTTTTGAAATGCCAGTGCAGGCGTCACATCGCATTTATTCAGATTTTCCAGAAATCGTGTTAGGAAAATATCCTGAGAGAGCGATGTGGCCGTTTGTGCAGTTCATCGTCAACGAAAAGAAGAAGTCCATCATTGTATTGAATAATTAACCTCACCTGCAACCACTTGTGGCAGATGACTCAGCCAGGTGGAGGTTTCTTCCTGTTAAAAGGGAGTTTTTCTTTCCCACTGTTGCCAAGTAGTTTTTCACAGGGGTCATGAGATTTTTGGGGTTTCTCTCTATTATTATTAGGGCTGGGTATCGTCACTGATTTCTAGAATCGATTCAATTCCGATTCACAAGGTCCCGAATCGATTCGATCCACGATTCGATTTAATTCGATTCGATTCGAATCGAAGAAAGGAAAACAGGAAAAAAAAAAATAATACAAATCAGAACATTTACATATTTTTGTATCAATAAAAAGGAAGCTGACACACGCAAGACTTTATCAAAGGTGTGAGCATCACAGCAGAGGCCTTTGTGTCAAAGTAGCTGAAGATAAAACACAGAAAAACATGAAGGTGATTTTCCTGGCCTGGGATTTTATAAAAATAATCTGCAGTACATCAAAAACGAAAGAAAACCATTAATCAACACATGAACATTACCTCTGAAGTTACAGCGGTTTATTAGACAGCGTTTTGCATTTTGCTTAATTTGAAAAAGTTTAAATTTGTTCAATATTGAACGGCAGAAATTAGGTTTACTTTTCGGAAGTAAGTAAAAGGGAAAAAAAAACGTCGGCCAACAGGCTGTAAACAACGGTAGACTTGTGCGTAACAAGCAAGCGAATAATGCAGAAAAGAGAGAGAGAGAGAGCGAGCTGTGCATGAAGTGTGATTTTTATCCTGAAAAGTCAGCAAAAGTCAGAGGGAATTCATGACGATGTTTATGTGAAGTGTAGTTTGGATCTTCTTTTGCTGCTGGTTCGGTCAATATTGTTTGGAGAGAGATAAACCTAACAGCCATATGATAAGCGCAAAAAGGGCGTAAACACACAGCGCGGATCAGAATCAGCGAGCTGTCGGCTTTCAGCCCCGACCGTCAGCTGAGAAAGGCGACATCTCACCGATTCTGATCCGTGGGTCCGCGCTGTGTGTTTACGTCTTTGTGCAGAAGCCGTGTACCTGCTCTCATTTACTGTCTTAGCTGTTTGGTGGTTGTTGAAATTTTGTGATCTTTCACCTGAGATTCTGGCATTTCGGGCAAAATAAATTAATATTAAAAAATCGATTCAGGATTTTAATGAATCGATTTTACGTTATCCAAGCCAGAATCGATTTTAATCGATAAATCGATTATAAAAACCCACCCCTAATTATTATAGTGTTTTTATCTTACAATATAAAACGTCTTAAGGCGATTATTGTTGTGAATTGGCACTATCTAAATAAAAGTGAATAGAACAAAGTTTATAAGAGCCAGCTGGGAAACAACCACCGTCAAGCACTGAAGCAGCATATCCATGTGAATCCTGCCTTACAGTGATGGCTGCATGTGTTCATCCTGTGCCCTCGTGCTGTGATTATTGTGAGCTTGTCCCATGACATGCCCATCCATGCATTTCCTGTGCCTCACCTCACCCACCCCCCCAGGCCCGTCTCCCTCAGTCAGCCCGCCAGTTTTCAATCCACCTCGATGCCAGTTCAGCCGCTCTCTAAGTGAAGCACGTTTCAACGCTCTCCGCCTGGAGTACGAAGAGTACAGGCGTGCTCAGGAATCCATCTGTTCCCGTGAGCCCTGCGTCACCCCTGGCCACGATTCAGACTCTGACTCCAGCTCAGCACTGCTCTAGCAGCTTAACTCGGTCCGTTATTCTGCCTGCCCTCTCGCCTTCTTCCTCCTTTCTCCACCTCTCACTGGTCGCCTTGCTTGCACCATCTTCTTGCCTGCTTTCATATCATTGATGTGCAGTGAAGTTGTGCTTGATTAAAACGTTCTGATTATATTTAAATTCCTGTAACCTGGCCCTTCAAGGTTCGTGTAATGCTAAACTCCTGTGTTTTTGTCTTTCACAGGTACCTCTAAGGGAGATATCAAATAGCAGTTTTAATGAATTAACGACAGCGCTGTGGTCACCACACAGTCACACCTCACTGGAGCTTTGTTATGTGAATCCTCTTTTAAAATGGACATTGCTCATCAAATGTAAGACAGCAACTCTTCGGTTGTTTTTGGATTGCGTATTCTTTTTCTTGTCTTGTTGTTCCATTGTGCTTTGCATAATGAAGCTGAAAAGGAATTATTTATTTTTCTTACAAAGTGCGTGCAGCTGTGTTTGAGGTTTTATTTTGTAATCTTGACAATCAGGCCCAAAGGAATGAAAAGTTTAGGGAGGCTTAAAAATTTTTTTACAGTCCACAGCTCAGAAAGACCTGCTTTATAAAAGCAACAGCCTGCTACGTATTTGGACTGTTTAAGGCGCTCCTTTAGTAAAAAAAAAGGGGATGTTTGGGCAGTGTCTGTGTCTCTAATGTCGCCTGTGATACCAATCAAACAGCACTAAAAACAGTTTCTTCCCACTCCCACTTAATAAGACTAAGTACTTAAATAATAATAATAGTACTTGCAGTTTAAATAATGCTAAGGCTTCCTGCAATTTGTGTTACTGATCCTTTACAAGAATTGAAAAGAACTTGCTCACTTCCTGCTACGACTCGCCCTTTGGTTGCCTAAAATTATGTGTCCCACATATTATCTGTCCCAGTAACATCCTCCCATTGAGCTCTTATTAATCAGTTCACCTAAAATGTTGCCCCTGTATTTGTTAAAAATGTATAAATGTTTATATATAGTTTATTGTGAATGATTGAATGTTGTATTGTGTACAGTCCTCTTCAAAGAAAAACGCTTCTTTACTCCACCTGAGTCAGTCAGACTTTACCTCTGCGATTTATGAATAACAGATACTGTAACACTTGATAAGATACACAGGGAAATTTATTTTTGCCTTATTTTATTCACATCACCCTGAATGACAGTGGAGAGGTTTCGACTGGCGGGATGTATTCAAACAAAAACCGGAGGATTCACACTGATTGAACACCTTCTCCTCACACATTGAGTATTTGTGTATATTTATTGAAGCGACTTACGATATGCAACGATGTTTACAATTCACATCCTCGATGTGAAGGCAGCACTGTGAATATTTCATCGACTTCTGATTCTGTATTTGAAGTCTGTTATGAATTTTGTGCCCGTTTTTTTGTTTGTTTTTGGTTTATTTTTTACCGAACAGAAGACGCTTTTGTACATCACCTGACAAACAGAGATCTAAAGAATATCTTTGTAGCTATAGTTTGGGATTTGTACTATATTTACTTTCCTAACCCAGATGAAAATGCATTTCTGACGATGGCTTTGGAAGCTCTGTATAAACTGGAAATTTTTATATCTTACCACCTGGCTGTTTTTTGTCATTTTTATATGTTTGTAATGAATAAATTGTTTTATTCAGAATGCATCAGACTGAAAGAGTGTTGACTGATTTTCTTTTCTAAACACTTAACACCGATCACTGTTAACACAATAGTCCCTCTCATTAAAGCTTGGGTAACCCTCTAAAATAAGGCTTCTAAAGAGTCTAATTCCCCTGTAATTAAATGGAATTTCTTTATTATTAGTATTATTATTATTATTATGTAATTATATTTATCTACAAGTAGTTGAAGGTAGGTACACTACAAGTTCTTTTTTTTTTTTACAGAAAAATTTGAAATAATTATAATCTAAGTAGATTTTAGATTTATATAGCAATAACAATTTTATTGATATAGCACATTACATGTGTAAAATCAATGTGCTTAATAAGACAACAGCATTAAAACCCTGTGTAGGTTTACAATGCCTTAAAGACAGCGAAAACAGCGAAAACAAATCAACAGGACCTATTCAGTGTAAACCCGGGTTAATAAAAAGGTTTGGAGTCTGTTTTTGAATATGCGCAGAGTTGTAGATCAGCAGGAAGTTGTTGTAAAAAACAGACTACAATAACGGAAAACACCTTCAGCAAAGAGAAAATGATTATATTGTAAGTGAATTTAAATAGTGCACAAGTGATTTAAAAGGTGTATCTAAAATTTTGGATATTTGACAGGAAAAGAGGCACAAGTTGTATTGTAAGTCATTTTAAGTACTGTGTACAAGTTTTTGGCAATTTTGCAGAAAAACTATATTTCCTCATCTATATTATAAGTACACTATCCTTGTGTGTGTGTGTGTGGGGGGGGGGGGGGGGGGGGGGGACGTATTATGAAGTGATCTTGCCTAACTTTCACGTGTTTTATAGAAAAGGATGTACAAATTATTAGGATTATTAGGATTTTCCCTTACAAGGAAAAACAAATAACATCCACATTTGTAATTACAATGTAGTATGGGGAAATATTGTTTGTTGTTCCACAAACTAAATTGAAATTACGCAGTACTTAAAGTTACTTACAGTGTAATTATTCCTTTTTCTTGTAAAAACACGACTTGTTACTCTCTATTCTAACGCACCTACCTTTAAGTATTTGTAGGTAAATGTAATTAGATTGTAATTTCAAGTAAAATAAATTCATATTCTGTTTAAATACGGAGGAATTACGCCTTTAGTCATGGGCCATGTTATAAAGTGTTACCAAAGCTTGTTTATAGCAAACCTGTAGGTATGAGGCTGCCATTGTTTTCAAAATGACACAAAGTCAAGTCAGCTTTATCTTTCATATTAAAAGTATTTCAGAGGCTCTGTTAGATTCTACTTACTTGCAGCTTGCAGAACCATCTTAAGCAGCAATGGCATGAAGTAATTGTTTTCTGCATGACTTTGTGGAGGTCTTACAGAAAGTGCCCAGGTCCTGTGGCCAAATCATTATCGCTTCCCCACCGTGCCTGCCAGATGGTGTGAGGTGTTTGTGCTGATGTTTGTTTTTTTCTTTAACAAACATGGCCAGGCATCTCCACTACTTGTTCAGTCTTTTTCTAATTATACTGTTATAAGCTTTAACATTAACGACTGACTAAGATCAGCTAACTGAGGTCTCTAGAGTCTGATGTAGCTGTTGGGTTTTTCCCAGTTTTTCCCAGTTTTTCTCAGCATTGCGTGGTCTGACCTTGGGGTGAATTTGCTGGGATGTCACTCCTGGGAACACTGTGGGATTATTTTAACACACACCCGAATACTCCAAACCAGCAAACTGACACAATGTCTGCATTTACAGAGAAGCTCACACTTGCTGATCAGTTAACTAAGTGCTTTGATTGACAGACACTAACTGCCACTTACCTTTGTTCCCAGTTTTTCCCAAGATTACTTTTCTTTACATGACTAACTATTGTGAGTGCAGGCAGTGTTCTGCAGAAAGCTGAATCACAGTTTGATTTAAGGACTTAAAATGTCGGGGTATTTGTGCAATATTAGACTTTGCCTACACTTTTTGGGATTAAAACCATTAAATATTTTCTCCATGTGATGTTTATCTGTTAAGTTGGTGGAAGTAGCTGTGATGGTGCTTTCTCATGCTCCCAAATCAGCAGTTAAGAGCACAAATGTACCAAAAGAGGACACTTGCTATTAAAACTCTGACTTGTTATTTTGAGGAAGCGCAGTGGATTTCTCAGTCGTTGTCTTTAACCCCATCCTTAGCTCTCATATTGACCAAACAAGATTACACAACACACAGCATTTGCCGTTTTACTAAACTATTTTTTTATTGTTTCAGGTAAGAATTCATCACAGTACACAGGTGTATATTTTGCAGTAGCACTATTTCTTCTCCAGATGTCACCTCACTTGGTTGACATGCGCATGACATGCTTGACCATATTTCCAATACCATCAAATATATAGTGATAGTGATAGTCAGTCTCCCACATGAAGGATGGAGTGCTAACCACTTTGTTCTTCTCATCCACATAGGCTTCGTAAAGGAAAGGGTTAAGGTCAAATCAGAGGTTATTTCAGGATAATGACAAAGAGAATATTTTTCACTGATATTAATACTGAACAGAAACCTTGGAAAGGATATATATGGCTCACGGACGTTGTGGCGAGCACCCATGCCCTTCACAGCCTGCACCATGTTTGTGTTTGGCCAGTTTCCCCAGCGGGTGTTGTCGTCTCGCTCGTAACCCATGGTTACCTCAATGCTCGGCAGCACACGGCAGGCCAGCACAGGAGCCATGCTGGCGAGTCTGAAACAGGAGCAGGAGAGGACAGTTGTCTGAGGTCGGAGACTTACCGGTGTAAGCCAGACAGGAGGGACTGAGTCCTGAGAAAAGAAAGTCTCTCCCAGAGCAGCACTGATTTGGTGTGACACCACAAAACTGGTGGCTAGATTAGGATTAATATGATCATTTAACAGCAAATTAAAGCCCCCCAAAAACAAAGTTTTAATTTGGAAAAAGGGAATAGAAGCTCAGTGGACGTTTGCCATCACTTAATCTGCAATTTATACCCATACTCTTAATCGATGACAGGCAGCTGTACCTTGTGATACTACAAATGTTGACATCCATCCGATGCCAGGAAAATACAAGGCCAGCATTGCAGACAGCAGTACTGATACTGAGAACTTATAAAGACAGCTTATGTTTGGGAGAGCAGTGTGTCATGATTTATGAGATAAAACATCATCAGTTTGCAAATTCTAAACACAGTCGCAGTCATTTTTACTTTCTACAATTATTAGTCAAGACAAAAAAACTCATGTATTTTGAAACTGGGTTTGTTTCAGAGCTGGGATGTAAATGTGCCTGTCTCTGAAACACTTCGGATCAGCTTCAGTTGTTTAAATGTGCTAAAGGCTATAAATAAAATAACCATGACAACCAAAAGTTTTTTATTTTGTGTAGATTTTTTATAAACCTTTCTTTAATTTAATAGATGTTTTCATTAATAATGCATCAATCCAATTCATTGGGCTACATACTAAACTTAGAGGGCAGAAATAAAGTATCATTCCTATTACCAGACTCAATCTGATTCCAATACCAGCATTGGTATCAATACTATCGATACTTCGATTGATCCGCCCACCTCTAACAGACAGGATACGTCATTCTCTATTCTACCCACATTTTTAAATACTGTTAACAAAGCTAAATACAGACATGCATGAAGCACTGTTCAGTTATTTCTCAGGAGAAATGAGAGCAGTTTCTAATGCACTGCGCAGGTATTTGAGTTTTAAGAGTGCTGCCTGCGAGCCGCAGTCTTCACAGACATTGAACATTTCCTCGCCCCTCTTTGCACCTTTTGATCTGCCTGTCAGACATCGTGGCACTGAAAAGCTAAGGTTTTTTTTTCTGCATGAAGCTGCAGCAGGAGGGTTTGTGCCATGGATGGAGATGCGCATTGCAGAGTACTCATTATGCCCCCCAGACACTTCTCGGTTTAAGAAAGGTGGCGTGATTCTAAATATAGGTTTGCTTGTTTTGTTGGCAGATCGTTTTCAGATTTAAAGACTCAATTACAGCTCTGACAAAACAGAACAATGGAGGGGGTGTTATATGGAGGCAGCAGGGCTCCCGTCTGCAATAGAAACATGTCATCACTTTGACAGTGATACTCACTCCCAAATTACACAGCTTGCAAAACATTTGAAGGCCTTTGCTCTTGATGGTAGAATGGCTACAAATGATGGCTGTTTTAGTCTTTAAATAATCTGTAATGGCTCCGACTCCTCTGGACACATTAATGGCAGTAGGAAAGGATTAGTCCTCTTTGGGTTGCGGTCAAGAGTACTTTTTAACCCTACTCAGCCTCCAACTCCACTCTTTAATTCCTGTAATCCCACATCTCCTGTGACCTTTGACCAGGCCTTCTGCACCCTGTTCCCTGTCTGCGCAGCCACTGCTCATCACCTCATCAGTGCCCTTGTGCCAACGCAAACCGGTCAGAAGCAGTCTGAACGGATGTTTTCAAAAGACAAAAAGGCATTCTGTAACCAGATTACATTACGTAATCTAGCCTCGTTCAAAACTTTTTAGTGCGATTGGGTTACTGATCCAAAAAAGAAAAAAAAAATCTGAATTATCCTAATCCCAACAGAAGAGTGAATTTAAGGGGATTTTGTGAAGAAAATGTAATAAAAGTTTAAAATTGATCAAATAAACCAACAGTTGGAGAGATCATGTAGATGAGGTAAACATTAGGCTATGTATAGACGTTTTACTGCAGTAAAGTGGGAAAAAAGGTTTCTCTAACCAGAAAATCAGCCCTGTCATACATCAGGACTGCCTGCAATGACACAATCATCTGAGGGGCAGCAGTCAAAAAAAGTGTAAGTACACATTCATGTAGGAAAGCCAGCTTTAAAAATCTGTTCTCTCCATAAATGAGGCTCATTATGATCTTATGATTTAAAACGTGAGTTCAGAATACCCAGAAGCCACAGCCAGCACCCTGCACTGTCATAATGTATGTAGTCCCATTTAGAACAGGCGCAATCGGGATTTGGTCGTCTCATACAGTTTGAATCCGGATCAGGATGAAGTTAATCCAATGCTAATTTAAAAAATTAGCACTGGATTAAGTGAAAAAAAGCACTAAAGTAAGAGGGGTTACATGAACCTGGAGATTTTCATAGATTATTGTGATCCTGATTTTTTTTCTTTCTTTTTCCTTTTTTTAAAAAAAAAACAAAACTATTTTTGAACAACACCGGAGTGTCAGTACCAAGACTGTCCTGTCTGCTTTGAACTGTAGGATTTGTGTGGTCTGTCTGCCCTCATGTTCCTCGATGTCAGCTTAGGACTCTGCTTGTCCTGCTGTCTGCTCTGATCAGTGAGAGCCAATAAGGAAACTTTTAGCACACGATTTGTAAATCTTCTCAATCACTTATTTAATTATATGCAGCTTTTCTTCTCGACTGGGTTTGTTATTTTAACACACTGACTATTCTCTGTAGTTTCACTGTTCCACAGTAGAAGTCAGATTTCCATGTGCAAAGCTTTACTCGCAGGAAATGAAATGACTAACAAATTTTAAGGATGCAATGTGATCATTTTTACCTAATGAGATCATATTAGTAACTACTAACAGAATCACACTATAAATATGAAGTCTCTCAGTCAGCAGCTCAGCATTCACTGCCTGACTGTTTTCCTTTTTACAGCCTCTCCATTGTCCCAATTCCATTACGGGGATTGTTTAAATCTTTAAATAGTTTAAAGTAATCTAACATAATCTGATTTAAAGCGTGCCAGAACTCACTGGCGGTCTTTAAAGTGGCCTCATGATTTATCAAATTCTCCATCAGTACTGCAGGAGTGAATATTGCTCAGATCATACGCACCCGATAGGCTTGCGTGAACGATGGAAATCCTTAAGAACCCTTTCGACGTCGCCGTGCAGCTTGCAGTCTTTGCCGTCCTTCATAAAAGATGATCTGAAGAGTAAAAACTAATAATTAGTGGTTCATTTTTAATGTAATACAAACTTGTGTTGTATCTAATCCTAACTCTGTTTTACACCAGCCGGTCTCAGAGTGATTTCTTCACATGTCAGCACTCCTCACAGATTCTTGATGATTCCATGGCCTCCTGGAAAGATGACGGCATCGAAGCTGTTGACGTCCAGCTTGGACAGGTCCTGCATTTGTGTCATTCCCTGTCCGTGACTGAAGCGGGCTGCCTCCATCATCATGTTCCTGCGGGGATGGACAGAATTCATCACAAAGTGCACCCACGTAACCATAGACAAAGTCAAAACGCCCACTGCGCCCATCTTCGAGGCCCACCGGTTCTCTCCAGAGGCAGGTTGCTTTCTCATGTGGTCAATCACGTGCATCTGCTGTTGATTTGGAGCAAACATCTGGAAGCGGGCGCCGTTACGGCTCAGGTGGTACATGGTGCTGAAGACGAGAGGGGTGCATTACCATCTGCCTGTGTTAATTCAGTCATGTGCATTTCCTGACCTCAGCAGGAGTGATACTCACTAAACCCCTTCATGGACATCAGTACCGTCCCACCATCCACATCCTGAGAAAACCTGAAACACATGGACTCACCAAATCACAACTACACCCACACTGGATCTGCTCCTTTCTCCCAGACTGATCTGCATCACTTACCACTGCAACGTTAGTATTTCCCCAGTTGCCGTAGTCACCCTGGTGCACAAAGCAGGCAGGCTGGCGAGAAAGAACAGCCAGCGTTTGTTTTGACAGCAAAGCCCTGGTTGCCAGCATGATTTAGCTTCAATCTCACTGTTGTAGAAGAAAAATAAAAAAGACTTCACAGTTTTACCACCGAGCCACGTAGAGACTTTTAATGGTTGTGGTGTTGATGTCAACGAGGTTGTCCGTATATATACCTGTAGAGTGGGGCTAAGTGACGTTGCCACGTAAGCTCTGTCTTCTGAGAAGAGTCGTCTCTTGTTCGCCTTGACTGACTTACTCTCCTCCTCATGAACACTCTTTCCTATTAATACCTTGTTTATTTATCTGATTAAGTCATTTGGCCACAGAGTGACACTTCAGCTTTGAAGAGCAATGTAAACATGTAGTGCTTCAACCCAAACAGTATCTTGACCTTTTAATAGTTTAACTCTTGGTGACAGATGCAGACGAGCGAACTTGCAGAACAGACGCTAAAAATGTTAGAGTAGCTAAAATATACTTTGGCAGAACAGTCACAGTGTCTTTTATATAAGGCAACAATCGAAGTGATGCCTGAGTGAGCCCTTTTTTTCCTGCTTTCTATAGTTACTCCTTTGTCCCAATTCAATTACAGGGATTGTTTAAATCTTTTGCGTTTAGCTAGTTCAAAGTAATCTAAGGTAATCTGATTTATGAAGTGTGGCAGAACTTGACAGTCTGTAATTTAACCTCATGACATACGTTATTCTACACTAGCTCATTATTTAAAGACTGTTTATTGATCACATTGTGCATCCAGGAAAAGCCTTGCAGTCTTTGCCAGTAAAACTTTTTTTTTTTTTTTTGCAGCAAAAAGATCCTGGGTTCAAGTCCCCCGGTCGGATTGGGCTTTTCTATGGGGTTTCTCTGTTCTTGGTAGGGTGAATGGTGATTCAGAATCACTCATTTGTGTGAATGTGATTGGCTTTCTGTCTTTTTGTGTTAGCCCTACAACAGACTTGCGACATGTCTTAGACGTACCCTGCCTCTCTCTGCTAGGCTCCAGTCTCACTGCGACCCTCAAATGGATAAGTGGTTAAGAAAACGGATGGATCAAGCTTTTAAACTGCTTCATACTTCTGAACTCTTCACAGTAAAAGGCGTACCATACGCCCTCTAAAGTCCATTAGACCTTAAGACTCTTACTCTCTTTAATGCCATGTTGTGTCTACAGTCTCTAGACTATGAGACCAGAAATACCCCAGGCAGACGTGAACGTTAAAGTCACAACACTGTTAGATCAATGCAGATCCTTCAGACTGCATTTGCTGAAATCACATTAAAACAATGTTAATTCACAGATGACGAGCGAGAGGCAAAAGTATGAGGTTTCCTTTATTATGATCACTTCTTTTTTAAATGTATAAATGATCATTATTTACAAATTGAGGAAGGGAGGGGGGTTATAGTGACAGTTTGAGGGACAAATGCAGAAAATTATGGAATCAACAGAACAATACACAACCAACAAGAATCACAACATCAGTCACAAGTCCAAGCCTCTGTCTGTGGGAGATGTTCTTGTTGAGATTGTGACTCAAAGTTTAAAGTCTTCACACAAATGAACTCATGCACTGGAAATGCATACTGAAACGGTCACATGTGGGAATCACAAAGTGCAAATAATTTTTTTTTTCAAAAGCAAACACAAGAAATATAATGAACAACTTCTGATGCTGTGAGGTGTTTTTTAAACTAAATGTCACCCTTACTGTGAAACAATACAAACATGTTTCTCACTTTCTCTCAATTGCCACACACACACACACTCTCTTACACACACACACTCTCTTACACACACACACTCTCACACACACACACACACCATGATTCGTTTTAAAACACCAAAGACCTGGCTCACAATTTCTGACAGTTTTCTTATGTCAAGTACAGAAGGGAACAACGAAGACTTAACTAGTGAAAAGAAGAACAAAGCAAAAACTACAAAAAGACAGCACAGACAATAAATGAGGTCCAATTTGATATCTTATATAAAATAAAGATGTTCAAAGAATCTCGTCAGTGTATTTCTGCATCTGTAAGGTGTCGGTAAAATGAAATTCACACAAATGGCAAGCACGTCAAACTAAAACCATAACGCAAACAAAGCTCCACTCACGTCCGGTCAAAAGCAAAACAACTGCCGACAGCGCTCATTCAACTAAATCCTACAAAAACAATCCAGCTCTGGTTGTTCCATCAATTAATTGTCATGAGCCGTGTTGAGCACTTCCAGCAAGTTTAGTTTTCTTTACATGTAAGAACCAAATCCCTAAAAGCCATTTACATGCAATTCACCAACAACTCCAGTGGTGAAAGTAAGAATTAGCTTCTAAATTTCTGTCACCACTAAAGAAAGCTTTCATGCACCCAAGCACCGTCATTCAAGGAACCTGCGCACTGACACGCTGTGTTTACTCAGTATTTTTGCAAAGATATCCATTTGATAAAGAGCGGGGCTTTGCCCATCAAGCTAAGTAGCTGTGCTGAGAGAGAAAGGTGTTAGCAAGGCGAGTCTGGTGGCATTAGGGTGTGTATGCGGGTGGCGGTTGAAATTGATTGGCAATGTCATAATCGGCAGGAAATGTTTCACTGCTGTCCTCCATCTCCGAGAGCAGCTCTAAAGCCTGCTCTTCCTCCTCAGTGGGGTAGTGACGAAGGAGATTTGCAGCTGTGGCGAGGATGGATGCTCCGCCCGCGCCCGCCACCAGGTAGAAGCTGATAGCAAAAGTGACGTATATGAGAGAGCCGTGGTACTTTTTGTGCTGCTGCTGTAGGGACAAGATCAGCTCCGAGGCCCAGTAGCAAAAACCTATGACTGTGGCACACTGCAGCACTGGTGGGAGACAGAAAGAGACGGTTACAAACCATTGAATTTACACATTGTCTTTTTCTAGACAGCATGAGGGGAAAAAAAGATTATTACCTGTGAGAATATGTGCAAATGCATATCTGCGGGTTATTTTCAGGGCAGGGTGCTTGGGACCAAACACATCCAAGAGAAAAGCAGTCAGACTGCAGAGGATTCCCAGGAAACAAAAGGCAGCGATTACTCTCAGCAGCAAGATGGTCTGCGGGTTCACGCAGTAATCTGATGGGAACAGACGGACACATCACAGAGCATTACACGTGAGCTCTGGGATTAATTGCTACTGTGGGTTTTTAACGGAGCTTTTGTGTGGGCCTCACCATCCAGAAGCTTGGGGTCAATGTATCCCAGGACATCTGACACCCCCAGCTCTTGTCTCGGACAGGTTCCTCCGTGGACGCGGAGCCAAGCCGGCTCAGCCAGAGCTGTACAAAGCGCTGTAATGGACAGAGCTCCGGGAAGAGCCGACACAAGGCTCCGCTCCGGCTGCTTGGGCAACGAGGTGCCCCCTCTCCTCCTTCGGCCTCCAGGGACAGTAGAACCCGGCGGGGCATACATCCTAATCCGATTTCCTCGTCCTCTGTTGTATAGTGTTGCTTTCCCTTTATTGTCAGTGTACCTGACAGCACTGCGCTAGTAACGAGCAAGTAAGCCACAAAACCGACAACCGGTAAAGCTAATTCTGGACTGATGACAGCGGCCCGGCTCCTTTGTTCACTCAGTTTCCAAATTAAAACAGACCATAAAACTAGCTGATTAATCAAAAGCAGTGCAGGTGTCTAACTGACGGCAACACAATAGACAGATGGCGTTCAGGCCTGCTAGCTCTGTTGTTAGCCTGAAAAGCTAACTTCTCGTAAACGCAAAATGTCGTCAAGTTTTTCTTTGTTACAAAAAATAACTTTAACAGCGACGGACACGACAGTCATACGTCTATAAAGTAATATAGCTAACAACACTAATAAATTAACGATCGATTTGGTACACAAAAAACAAAGACAAAACAAAAGGAAACGTCCGCTGGCTTCCTCGAAAACACTTGACTTCCTTGTTCATACCATTCTTCTTCTTCGCGGTCTCGATAGCTGTGAAAGTCAGTACTCCCACCTACTGGCGACTCCTCCTATGGCATTCTTGTCTTTATTTTATTAAACTCACTCATTGTAAATTAACAAAATAAACGTGCTCCTATGAGCTCCTAGAGGCTGTATGAATACTTCATAGGAAATCATAAAAAGAGATGACAAAAAATTTATAGCACAATTAAAAGAAACAAGTAAGAGTGCTTTACAAGATAGGTAAGAACAAACAAGATAAAATCTTAGATCAACAGAATACATACAATAAAATACAACATAAAATAAAACACCGTAAATTTCACGTAATTGTTTTTACGTGAAATTTGCCGACAGTAAAAACAAACAAAAAAAAAGACCACGAAACTGCAACCCACAATGCAGCGCGGGGACTAAATAAGCAAAGATGGCGGCATTTTGGTCACCGCTGATGTTGTGAGCTTATGCACTTTGTTGTTTGGTGCTAGTTACAGACTGTGTTTAGCGCAGATACGGCCATTGTTGTATCCGTGCCCTGGGTGTTGACTGTGGTTTAGGGCCGTAGTGCTGCTGCTGCTCTCTGTCTGCTTTTGGTGTTTCGGGCCATTTCCTGTCTCGTTTCTCGGCTAAGTGTCAGTGACAACGACTCGGAAGTATTTCCCCAATTCGACCATGAAGGAGGCTCTGTCCCTGATTCAGAGGTTGAGCGCACACCCGGACTCCCGCTGCTGGTTCGTAAGCTGGAGCCCCAACGGGACGCTTCTGGCCTCATGTGGGGGCGACAAGACCATCCGGATATGGGGGAAAGAAGGTGAGCTCTCCATGAGCCTCAGTCGCATAATAAAGCATTATAGTACAGTAGTTGACATCCTTCACCCCTCTACCTGGCTCTCGTTTTTCAGGTGACTCCTGGATATGTAAGAACGTGTTGCAGGATGGACACCAGCGCACTGTGAGGAAAGTGGCTTGGTCTCCATGTGGGAATTATCTGGCCTCTGCCAGCTTTGATGCTACCACTTGCATCTGGAAAAAGAAGAACGATGACTTTGAGGTCAGATGACAGGTCTCCTGTTCAGTGTGTTAAATGGCATGCCTTAGAAATGCTGCATCTCTGCAGATTGTTACCCACGCTTTGTCTCCTAGAGTTTGACTGTGCTGGAAGGACACGAAAACGAGGTCAAGTGCGTGGCGTGGGCCCCTTCAGGGAATCTTCTAGCCACATGTAGCCGAGACAAGAGCGTCTGGGTTTGGGAAGGTTTGTGTTAAAGAGCGCCTAAATTGCACATACTGATCTGCACCATTGCCTGTTTCTAAACTTGACCTTGTCTCTTCCTGCTCTGCAGTGGATGAAGAAGACGAGTATGAATGTGTTACAGTTGTGAACTCTCACACGCAAGATGTCAAGCACGTTGTCTGGCACCCGACCCAGGAGGTAGGTCTCATTCGGATCTGTCCACATGAATGTTTTTTTTCCCCATCTCCTGTTGTAACACCACGTGACCCTGCGCTCACCATGTGATTGTACAGCTCCTGGCCTCAGCCAGCTATGACAACAACATTTGCCTTTACAAAGAAGAGGATGATGACTGGGAGTGCCGGGCCACCTTACAGGGACACACGTCCACAGTGTGGAGTTTGTGTTTTGATGCAGATGGTCAGAGGCTGGCTTCGTGCAGCGATGACCGCACTGTGAAGATCTGGAGAGAGTATCCAGCTGAAAGTGGACAGGGTGAGTCAGCATTAGTTTTATCATAAATCAATGTGGTAATAAAAATATCGACAGTAATGTGTATGTTTTTTCTGGTCTCCTGTTTAAGATTTGTCGTGGAAGTGTGTTTGCACTCTGTCTGGGTACCATGGACGAGCGGTGTATGATGTCTCCTGGTAAGACTAATTTTGTAATAGACTCTTGTAGGAATGCTTCAGTCAATCATTAAAGGTGCAATCAGTCAATTGTTTGAAGTCATTTAATGGAAAAAAATCCCCATTGTGCTGATAAATATACATTTATTAGTGTGTAATTACATCTTCCAACGAATTGATGCATTCTCCTAAACTAGATATATAGTATGCTAAAGGACGGGGCATTCATGTGGTGTGGAGGCAATTTGTGTTTTCACCTTCAGACTAAAGATATAAAGGATCATACATGTTTTATAACCTTTCACAAACGCTGGCTACCAGCAGATGGGTGCAATAAGACAAAAATTAGCACACATCTCACCTGACAATCAGCAGCATACCCAGATAAGAAAAAGACTTGGATGGATCCAACTTTTGCTATCTGTGTACAGTAGCTACAGGTTAATGGCAGTTTTTGAGGCAAAAACTGTAGTTAGGATTATGCACTTGAATTGGTGGGTGTAAGAAAACAGAATTCAGCTGAATGTGTTCTTGAATTTACTGACCTTTAGTCTGGTCGTCACATTTAAGATCGACTTGCGATAGCAACGGGGTAATTGTTCCACAACTTGTAATTTCTCCATAACAATGCAGTATGGTTACATTTGAGGAATATGTGTTGCTCTGTGTCCAGAAATTATGCGCAAACATAAAGTGGAGGTTAATTGATCACCAGAAATCCCAAAGATGTGGTCTCCATGTGCATTTGTCATTGTTAGACGTCACATTGAACCCAAATCTTTCTGCAGGTGTCGGCTGACTGGCGCTTTAGCAACTGCCTCTGGTGATGACGCAGTGCGAGTTTTCAAGGAGGATGAGACGGCCAATCCCGAGGAGCCGGTATTCTCACTGGCTGCTCAGGTGGCCAGAGCTCACAACCAAGATGTTAACTGTGTGTCCTGGAACCCAAAGGAGGCGGGATTCCTGGCTTCATGCAGCGATAACGGAGAAATCGCCATTTGGAAGTTCCAAGAAGAGGAATGAACATCCCTGGAGTGCATAGTTGCGTGTTAAATTGGGAACTTTCTGCAGCATTCACCACAGATCATTATTTTATAGCTCATCAGGATTCTGCTTGACATCAGCGCTCATCTGTGTCCATGCTGAGAATACTGCTTCATGTGCTTTGAGTAGCAGCGCCACTGAGAATTAATAGAAATAACATGTTTAACTATAAAATAAAGTGAAAAATGTTTCTTCTCCTTTTTATTGCAAAAGCATTTCAGACAGCACATCATAGTAAAACACTTCAACCAGTCCAAGGATTAAATTTCATAATAAAATGATTTCAATCCAAAATATAACCGGACAGTTGTTTTTAAACACCCTACCTGGTTTAAGGATGCACCATCCCCAGGATTTATGTGTTTCTTTAATCCACAATGGCCAATTAAATTTTTGTCAGATCCCAAAACTGACACAAAAGTACAAAGTGTTAAACTTCTTATACTGAAAACAGACTGGGGCTTGGGTAGCCATGTATCTGTACTACATGTGGACAAACAGATCCTGTACACTATATTCTTGGACTGGCATCATTTAGAGGACTTAACTAAGAAGCAACTGAAAACAAACATTATTTTGGTAATGGCAGAGTCAAAGTAAAGAAATGTCAATCAGGTTGAATATCTACAGCAAAAAAAGAAAACTACTGATCCCAATCTATCAGAGAACCGCTGAAGAAAATAATCAAGTCTCTGATTAGTCCGAGTCGCTGTCTCCATCACTGTCAGCCTCCTTTACATCTATGCTGAACTTGTACTCCTGGTCACAGCCCATATATGCGTCACTCATGAAGTACAAGGTGTAGTTGTGGATGCCCATCGCCGGGGCAACAAAGTCCAGCTTGACCTGCGGTGGAGGGACATAAACTAAGTGAGGCCTCTGGTGGTTAAAACATAATTTCGGGCTATTACAAGATGACTCACTGACCTTTGCTTTCTGCTGAAGAGTCAGCCTCTTGATAGAGATCAGGCTGTTAGACTTGGGGTCTCCGATCACCACCCACCAGCCCTCCTCACGTTTCTATAACAATGACAAGTATTTCCACAAGAGTTGGTCATTAAGGTGAAAATTAAAGAAATATATATGTCATGGAGATGTTTGAAAAGTACTAACCTGGGGAAAGAGCGGTGCAATGACTGGACCCGTTACCTCCTCCTCTCTCTCCAGCTGAACCTGAACCAGAACTGGACTGCCACTGTGAATAAATATGGAAAGAGATCAATTTCCCACCCATCTGTGCAATTTTGTAATGTAATTTTTCATTTCCAGGAAACGCAGCGAAAAGTGCTGCTGCCAGACTGTACACGTACCTCTTGACACTGTCCTTCTCTGCCACTTCGTACGACAGCTCGATGTTGGGGTAGCGGTTACAGAAGCGAGCCACGTCGGCCATCTGGGCATCCGAGAGCTGCAGCAACGCGCTTCTGTCTTCGTCCTCCATTTCCATTATGTCAAAGATGCTCTCCACTCCCTTATGAGCAAAGGAAACGGAAGCACGTTCAATCAGCATGAGATTCATCTACACTAAAGTGAGAGTCAGACTTTCCTAGGATCATTTTACCTTTTCTGTGCAGCGCTTGATGTGCTCTGAGGTGAAGAATGGCAGCTGTTTGAGGTACGAGTCCTTGGACCACATGGCCTGAGTGACCATCTGAGCCAGCTCCATAGCAGCCAGTGCAGGACTCAGCCAACCGTTGCTGGACAGCACATCGACGCACGCCTGAATCAGTCGGACAGCCTACAAAAAAAGACAACACACATATTCTTTAAGTGTACAAATATACCTTCCAATATAAAGCATCTTGAGGCGACTGCTGTTGTGATTTGGCGTTTATGTAAGTAAAATTGAAATGAATTAAAACTGAATTTCACTCACGGCACTCACTTTGGGAATCACTGATTTACAGTGATCTCATGATCTAACCCACTCCCTATGGGATCATTCTAAAGTCTTTTTGGGCCTTTGTCATATATTTCAGTCACATCCAAAATTAACAAATTTACCTGTCTAATTTTTAAATGCTTTCTAAAATCTATTACAGCAATGTTTTGGTGTAAGCCCTTGAAATGTGAATCTGAACAGGGTACAAGCCGTCTTTTGTTCATG